CCCCTACCTGTCCCAGACCTGCTGTTTTAAACTCTAATGATCGGCTATGAAAAGCCAACTGAGATTTATTCCTGATTATTATTTGACCATGCTTGTCACTTATGAACATTTTTGAACATCTTGGCATGGTTCTGTTATAATCTCCACCCGGCACAGCCAGAAGAGGACTGGCCACCCCTCATAGCCTGGTTCCTCTCTAGGTTTCTTCCTAGGTTTTGCCTTTCTAGGGAGTTTTTCCTAGCCACCGTGCTTCTACACCTGCATTACTAGCTGTTTGGGGTTTTAGGCTGGGTTTCTGTACAGCACTTCGAGATATTAGCTGATGTAAGAAGGGCTATATAAAATAAAATTGATTGAAAATTGATTGATATGTAGCTAGATGTAGTAACATTAGGCTAATGTTAACTAGCTGGCCTAGCGCATCGTTGCCTATGAAAGGAAGTTAGGCTAGTGAGCAAGCATTTTAGCCAGGTAGCCTAGGACAACTCAAACTAAAAGCGTGTACTGTATGACAGAGTCATAGACCGTTTAGGCAACATGAAGAGAGGGATGGCGTTGGCGTCAACATGGTTTTCTACTTGCACACACACACACACACACACACACACACACACACACACACACACACACACACACACACACCACACACACACACACACACACACACACACACACACACACACACACAGAAATCAGTATCATTGACAGCCACATCATATTTAGCTTATGTTGATTGGACTAAATTGTTTTTGATATCTTTTAGTTGTCACTGTATTAAAGCTGCAATATGTAACTTTTTGGGCGATCTGACCAAATCCACATAGAAATGTGAGTTATAGCTTTGTCAATCTCATTGAAAGCAAGTCTAAGAATCAGTAGATCTGTTCTATGTGCGCTATTTCTATGCTTCCCGTTCTTAAGTTTAGTTTTTGTGTCTTTTATTTTCAGTTTTGTACCCCAGCTTCAAACAGCTGAAAATACAGTATTTTTGGCTATGGATATTTCACAGCGGTTTAGATGGTACAATGATTCTCTACACTATACTTGCTTGTTTTGTCACATAAACTGAAATTAGGTGAACTATTAGAATTTTAGCAACCAGGAAATGGAGGAGCTATTTCTGCATAGTACAGTTTTAAACGAAGCATAGGTGATTTGATGATGTTGAAATGTTGAAGTTGAAATTATGCTGGAATAGTGGAGGCAGCTCCTGTTTTCTTTACGACTTGCGATAACTCGCCGTGGTCCTAAATCAATGTTTGTTTAGTAGTCTGAAAATGTCCGAAATATTAACTTGCTTGACCATGCTGTAGGTCATGTAACTGTTTGTTACATGCTAAATGCTTTGTGGACTTTACCAGACAGATGTTGATCTCTGGTTTTGTGATGAAACAGGTATGGTTGAATTTATTCTGCCACTGTGTCTTCTTATTGTCTCTGCCTTTAGGGCTATATATCACGGTGGTAAGGCATATGAACTAACAGGTTACAGAGAAAACAACGCAATTATCACAACACATAGAGATTGTAATATTGCTTTTGGCTTGGCTTCCCCAGTGATTTTACCCACGCACCGCTACTGACTGTAAATACATACAGTATGATAGTCATTATCATAATGAAAAAGTGTGTTTGAGAGCCATATTGGCCAAGTTGTGCTCTGTCTAAGACTATATAAAGATAAATGAGTTTGTATTTCTAGGATTCAGAACACGGAAGGGAATCTGACCTGTCATTCTTCAACACCTTGTTTGACCCCTCTTCAGACAATGCAGAGTCCAGAGTGGGTACCTCTGATGCTTGAGGAGGAATAACTCCAAACCGTTCTTATAAGCTCATAACAAAACATTGCCAAGCACAGTGTCAACTAAAGTGTTTATTTACAGTTTGTATTGAACAGTACTCATATTATAGTCTTAGGAAAAATCTATTGATATAAGTTCATTATTTTATGCTCAGGGAATTGCATTCACCATCGTGACGAGGACAATGTTAATAAAGATCAATAGTATTGTGAAGTAGCAATATATTCATAATGACATTACAGACGATTATGATCCACTAACAACCATAAATCCGTCCTTTTTATCGTTGCAGATATAGTATTTGTTTTTATGTATTACAAAATTCGATGTGACTGAAACGTTGCACTTTACTGTAATAAATGTTTATTTACAAGTTTCTTCATCAGTCTTTGCCTCTCTAACCTGTGATATAAGACAACCATCTCCTGCCCCATCCCTAGCCCTCTCTCCAAGCCCCATCCCCAGCCCTCTATCCCCCCCACCCCCATCCCCAGTCCCAGACCTCTCTCCAAGCACCATCCCCAGTCCCAGACCTCTCTCCAAGCACCATCCCCAGTCCCAGACCTCTCTCCAAGCACCATCCCCAGTCCCAGACCTCTCTCCAAGCCACATCCCAAGCCCTCTACCCCCCCCCACACTTAGAAAAAAGGGTTCCAAAACGGTTCTTTGGCTGTCACCATAGTAGAACCCTTTTTGGTTCTAGGTAGAACCCATTTTGGTTCCAGGTAGAACTCTTTTGGGTTACAAGTAGAGCCCTCTGTGGAAAGGGTTCTTCATAGAACCCAAAAGGGTTCTCCTATGGTGACAGCCGAATAAACCTTTTAGGTTCTAGATAGCACCTTTTTTTCTAAGAGTGCACCCCCATCCCCAGTCCCAGACCTCTCTCCAAGCCCCAGCCCACTGTCCATCCATCTCCAGTCCCAGACCTCTCTCCAAGCCCCAGCCCACTGTCCATCCATCCCCAGTCTCAGACCTCTCTCCAAGCCCCAGCCCACTGTCCATCCATCCCCAGTCCCAGACCTCTCTCCAAGCCCCAGCCCACTGTCCATCCATCTCCAGTCCCAGACCTCTCTCCAAGCCCCAGCCCACTGTCCATCCATCCCCAGTCCCAGACCTCTCTCCAAGCCCCAGCCCACTGTCCATCCATCCCCAGTCCCAGACCTCTCTCCAAGCCCCAGCCCACTGTCCATCCATCCCCAGTCCCAGACCTCTCTCCAAGCCCCAGCCCACTGTCCATCCATCCCCAGTCCCAGACCTCTCTCCAAGCCCCAGCCCACTGTCCATCCATCCCCAGTCCCAGACCTCTCTCCAAGCCCCAGCCCACTGTCCATCCATCCCCAGTCCCAGACCTCTCTCCAAGCCCCAGCCCACTGTCCATCCATCCCCAGTCCCAGACCTCTCTCCAAGCCCCAGCCCACTGTCCATCCATCCCCAGTCCCAGACCTCTCTCCAAGCCCCAGCCCACTGTCCATCCATCCCCAGTCCCAGACCTCTCTCCAAGCCCCAGCCCACTGTCCATCCATCCCCAGTCCCAGACCTCTCTCCAAGCCCCAGCCCACTGTCCATCCATCCCCAGTCCCAGACCTCTCTCCAAGCCCCAGCCCACTGTCCATCCATCCCCAGTCCCAGACCTCTCTCCAAGCCCCAGCCCACTGTCCATCCATCCCCAGTCCCAGACCTCTCTCCAAGCCCCAGCCCACTGTCCATCCATCCCCAGTCCCAGACCTCTCTCCAAGCCCCAGCCCACTGTCCATCCATCCCCAGTCCCAGACCTCTCTCCAAGCCCCAGCCCACTGTCCATCCATCTCCAGTCCCAGACCTCTCTCCAAGCCCCAGCCCACTGTCCATCCATCTCCAGTCCCAGACCTCTCTCCAAGCCCCAGCCCACTGTCCATCCATCTCCAGTCCCAGACCTCTCTCCAAGCCCCAGCCCACTGTCCATCCATCTCCAGTCCCAGACCTCTCTCCAAGCCCCAGCCCACTGTCCATCCATCCCCAGTCCCAGACCTCTCTCCAAGCCCCAGCCCACTGTCCATCCATCCCCAGTCCCAGACCTCTCTCCAAGCCCCAGCCCACTGTCCATCCATCCCCAGTCCCAGACCTCTCTCCAAGCCCCAGCCCACTGTCCATCCATCCCCAGTCCCAGACCTCTCTCCAAGCCCCAGCCCACTGTCCATCCATCCCCAGTCCCAGACCTCTCTCCAAGCCCCAGCCCACTGTCCATCCATCCCCAGTCCCAGACCTCTCTCCAAGCCCCAGCCCACTGTCCATCCATCCCCAGTCCCAGACCTCTCTCCAAGCCCCAGCCCACTGTCCATCCATCCCCAGTCCCAGACCTCTCTCCAAGCCCCAGCCCACTGTCCATCCATCCCCAGTCCCAGACCTCTCTCCAAGCCCCAGCCCACTGTCCATCCATCCCCAGTCCCAGACCTCTCTCCAAGCCCCAGCCCACTGTCCATCCATCCCCAGTCCCAGACCTCTCTCCAAGCCCCAGCCCACTGTCCATCCATCTCCAGTCCCAGACCTCTCTCCAAGCCCCAGCCCACTGTCCATCCATCTCCAGTCCCAGACCTCTCTCCAAGCCCCAGCCCACTGTCCATCCATCTCCAGTCCCAGACCTCTCTCCAAGCCCCAGCCCACTGTCCATCCATCTCCAGTCCCAGACCTCTCTCCAAGCCCCAGCCCACTGTCCATCCATCTCCAGTCCCAGACCTCTCTCCAAGCCCCAGCCCACTGTCCATCCATCCCCAGTCCCAGACCTCTCTCCAATCCCCAGCCCACTGTCCATCCATCCCCAGTCCCAGACCTCTCTCCAAGCCCCAGCCCACTGTCCATCCATCTCCAGTCCCAGACCTCTCTCCAAGCCCCAGCCCACTGTCCATCCATCTCCAGTCCCAGACTCAGTTCAGCCAGGCCCTAGCACATACAGCACAGATATGGCAGCAAACACCCAGACTTCCTCTGGTCGCTGTCTCTCTCTCTGCCAGACAGAGGACCGGAGGCCAGAGACAGAGGTCAAAGACACAGGAGGAATGTAGGACGTCAATGGGAAGGAAATCATTCAGAGGTGCCAAAGGAGAGAGATTATTAATTGTAGGCTATGACAGCAGTCAAGGAATGCAATGAAGCTGGGAGGGGAAAAGGATTGTTGATGAGCACAAGCACATTTTCTGTAGGTTGTCTGATTCTGAAACTATGGCTGAGGATCAAGGACTTGTGTTTTATTATTACTGCACATTGAACTACATGTATTTAACGGATGTGTAACACATTGAAATGATACACAATATAAACACATGATAAACCACATATACTGTTACAGTCAGTGCTTGGTATATACTTGTGTGTATGCACAGTATTTGGCAGTGTGAGATTTCAGTAACATGTGTTGCTTGGTCTAGTAAGGCCATGTTTATTTATCCTGTGGCTACAAATGGAGCAGAAGAACCAATCCATTCATATCTGTGTAGTATATTTACAGAATCACAACAAAAATAGTTTCAACGATAACTCCACTGTAGTAGCCTGGGTAACGATAACTCCACTGTAGTTGCCTGGGTAACAATAACTCCACTGTAGTAGCCTGGGTAACGATAACTCCACTGTAGTTGCCTGGGTAACAATAACTCCACTGTAGTAGCCTGGGTAACGATAACTCCACTGTAGTTGCCTGGGTTACTGCGATATATTGATGTCATATGTTTTATCTTGACAGCTACAGTATAAAGCCAGACCCAGAAACACCCAGAAACACTAGTGTACAACTTTATAAGACAACTTTATAAGACTGGCATTCAGTATTAATGAGATACAGGATAGTGAAGAGGCCCTGTGTTTGTCTGTGGGAAGAAGTACAGTATGGTCCCCTCCTTTCTTTTCCATTAAGACTAAACATATAGGCCTGTCTAATAGGTCTGTCTAATAGGTATGTCTAATAGGTCTGTCTAATAGGCCTGTCTAATAGGCATGTCTAATAGGTCTGTCTAATAGGCCTGTCTAATAGGTCTGTCTAATAGGTCTGTCTAATAGGCCTGTCTAATAGGTATGTCTAATAGGTCTGTCTAATAGGCCTGTCTAATAGGTCTGTCTAATAGGTATGTCTAATAGGTCTGTCTAATAGGCCTGTCTAATAGGTCTGTCTAATAGGTCTGTCTAATAGGCCTGTCTAATAGGTCTGTCTAATAGGTCTGTCTAATAGGCCTGTCTAATAGGTCTGTCTAATAGGTCTGTCTAATAATAATAATAATATGCCATTTGGCAGACGCTTATATCCAAAGCGACATACAGTCATGCGTGCATACATATTTTTTGGGTATGGGTGGTCTGTCTAATAGGTCTAATAGGTCTGTCTAATAGGCCTGTCTAATAGGTCTGTCTAATAGGTCTAATAGGTCTGTCTAATAGGTCTGTCTAATAGGTATGTCTAATAGGTCTAATAGGTCTAATAGGTCTGTCTAATAGGCCTGTCTAATAGGCCTGTCTAATAGGTATGTCTAATAGGTCTAATAGGTCTGTCTAACAGGTCTAATAGGTCTGTCTAATACGCCCGTCTAATAGGCCTGTCTAATAGGTTTGTCTATTAGGTCTGTCTAATAGGTCTAATATGTCTGTCTAATTTTACACATTTTTAGACTAAATGAAGTAGAGTAAGTAGAGTACAGAGGGCTTGCATTGCAGACTGGTCTCTCTCTCTCTCTCTCTCTCTCTCTCTCTCTCTCCCCTCTCTCTCCTCTCTCCTCTCCCATCTCTCTCTCTCTCTTCTCTCTCTCTCTCTCTCTCTCTCTCTCTCTCTCTCTCTCTCTCTCTCTCTCTCTCTCTCTCTCACACACACACACACACACACACACACACACAGAGGTTGGAAAGCCCTCTTAGCCTTGTGAGATATGTCACACTCATCCAATCCAAGGAATTCTCACAGGAACTCGCTCTCATGCAGGTGAGAAAACACACACACAGTACACACAGAGAGAGAGAGAGAGAGAGAGAGCGAGGGAGAGAGAGAGAGCGGGGGAGAGAGAGAAAGAGAGCGAGAAGGAGAGAGAGAGAGAGGGAGTACCTATTCTACTCAGCACGGTGGCAGACTCACTGTTTTGAGGCGTGTGCACAAAGTTTCCAACGCTTATGCACTGTCTCCACTCTCAACTTATTATAATGGAGATGACCATGCAAGATGGAGAGAGACAATAATAACTTCAGCATCGCACTCAAGTCATTGTCAACAGACGTATTATCTTAGACCTATTTAGCCCTATCAAGTGATCACACAACCTTTCCAAGACGAATAGAGTTAGCCAATTCGGATTCTTAATTCTTGTTAAATGGGCATTTCCCGGCGACGGGAAGTATTGCTATTGAAATGTTTAGTAGTTTATGTAAAAAATGCAACTACTGGATTTTATTTCATACCCTGCTCAGCGTTTTTGTTTGAGAAGTGGACAACCTTCTGATGCAATAGTATAGCCTTGATACTTCAAACCAAAAGGACCTTGCACAGATGAATAGTTGTCAAACAGAGTTTTTATTTGATAGTGTGCCTTGGGGTGATGATGACGAAGACTCTCAATTTTATCACCGGAATATTTCTAGTTTTCCAGTATCAAATAAGTAATGTGGAATTAATGCATGCAAGTGGTAAGTCATTATTTAAAATAGTATTTATTTATTGTAAGTCATCAATTAAAATAGTATTTATTTATAGTAAGTCGTTATTTAATATAGTCTTTATTTATTGTAAGTAATTAGTTAAAATAGTCTTTATTTTTTGTAAGTCATTATTTAAAATAGTCTTTATTTATTGTAAGTCATCTTTTAAAATAGTCTTTATTTATTGTAAGTCATTATTTAAAACAGTCTTTATTTATTGTAAATCATTATTTAAAATAGTCTTTATTTATTGTAAGTCAGCATTAAAAATAGTAATTATTTATTGTAAGTCATTATTTAAAATAGTCTTTATTTATTGTAAGTCAGTATTTAAAGTAGTCTTTATTTATTGTAAGTCATTATTTAAAGTAGTCTTAATCTATTGCAAGTCATTATTTAAAATAGTCTCTATTTATTGTAAGTCATCATTTGAAATTGTATTTATTTATTGTAAGTCATTATTTAAAACAGTCTTTATTTATTGTAAGTCATTATTTAAAACAGTCTTTATTTATTGTAAGTCAGCATTAAAAATAGTAATCATTTATTGTAAGTCATTATTTAAAATAGTCTTTATTTATTGTAAGTTATTAGTTAAAATAGTCTTTATTTATTGTAAGTCAGTATTTAAAGTAGTCTTTATTTATCATAAGTCAATATTTAAAATAGTCTTTATTTATTGTAAGTCAGTATTTAAAGTAGTCTTTATTTACAGTAAGTCATTATTTAAAGTAGTCTTTATTTATCGTAAGTCATTATTTTAAAATAGTCTTTATTTATTATAAGTCATTATTGTTCTCCAGTTCTCTCTGGTGTGTTTGTTTTTTGAAGCTCAGCCATGTGCACTAACATTTCTGTATAGCCTTAATGTTTTGGCAAGTTATTCACCTTTTAAATAAATCAAAATATTGAAGAAATTACTGTAAACATTAGACCATAAAAGTACAGGATAAAATGCTGTGATAGGCTACATCACTGCAATACTGAATCCTTAAAGAGTGGACACGGTTGTCTGGCATATAATAGAATACTTCCCAAGGGACCTTCCTAAGATAAGAGGAGATAAGATTAACTTAACAAGATAACAGGACTTGCTACAGAAATGTCACTTTACTGACATGCATGTAGGTTTATTACTGCTTTAGTGTCAGTTCATGGCTCATTAAAGGGGCAATATGCAATTGCTACATTCATTATTGTACCCATTTATATACCCATTGATTCTTGAAGAATATAACTTATAAATGCCTCATGAGCTTAGTTCAATTGTCTTACCCCATCAGCACCCAAAATATAAGCTTGTTTTACTATTTTGTTTGTAAACAAAGTAATTGTAAACAAACACTGTATAGCCTCAAAACATGATTAAAACTGTTAATTTGATCTCATGGATGGTCAGTCCTTGCATCCATAGCTCTGTCTAAGAAGTTGACAGTGGCTACATTTCTCCAGCCCCATCCCTAAGCTATTTACCAAATCAGTGGCGGGGTGCCCGCTTTCTTATTGTTTGAACTGCAGACTGCCCATTAAACCAGTTCTTTAAGGTGTTCTATATGTCTCCAAACCACAATAACAATTCTAAGTCTGCTGTTGATAGTAGAACACTATGTGACACACTCTATGAAACTCACAACATGTCTTCCTCCATCATAGCTGCCCCCATAACCTCTGGGTTGGGCCTGCTAGTGTGAAGAATGTGCGGCAGCCTTTCACTCTCTCCTGCGAAAAGAGGGGGGAGTTTAGATGCACTGCTGTCCCTGGCAGGATGATTGAGTGGGGGTGGATGTTTGTTTTGCCCAGGGAAGAGACGTTAGTATGCTGTCTGTGTCTGTCTCATGTTGACACTGGCATGCAGGCAGATGTAGGCTAGTATATAAAGATGGGTTTAGTTCCAAGGACTGTCTCTGTCTGAAGACGTTCAACATGTCATTGTCACCCTCACATAGGAGATTCCTGGGCCCTTTTCAAACACTGGTGAGATGAAACATAACCAGCATACTATGTCATAGGGAGCCCCTTCTACTCTCCTCAGGGGTCTCCCATGCTGGTGTGCAGGGGCTGGCCCTCTCTAGAGGAGTATCAGATCTGGATCAAATACATTATGTGTCAAATACTTTGAAGTGTGCGGTTGATTTAGCTTGACCGGAATTCAGGGGGGTTTGCACTTTTGCATTGGTTCCATTGTATCAGGATAAATCAAGCACACCTCATGTATCTGAACGTGTTTTTGTTTGGTCCAGGTCTGGAGAGTGTGTCTGAGGACCAGGCATCCTCCAGCCAGAGGTGGAGGAGGTGGCTGGCCACCCCCAGGCCGGGGGCCCCGAGCTGGGCCAGTGACGACCGCCACGGCCACTACAAGGACCAGGATGACCTACTGACTGAGGAGAGACATGACAACAGCTCCCAGATTGAAGTAGGAACAACAACAACAACAATAACAACAACAACAACAACCATTTTAAGGGCCAGGTGTTTTCCATCATGACCAGGCCAGTAAAAAACTCTGAGCCCTAGTTAATTAGACCCCAGAGTGTTTCTTGGCCAGGTCTTGTGTTTAGGAAAAGTCAGGACCCTGTAATGTTTAATAATGTTTCTTGTTCTAACTGTCATATTGACATGATATAGCCCTGTGTAGCTCAGTTGGTAGAGCATGGTGCTTGCAACGCCAGGGTTGTGGGTTCGATTCCCACAGGAGGCCAGTATATAAAAATAAAATGTATGCACTCACTAACTGTAAGTCGCTCTGGATAAGAGTGTCTGCTAAATGACTAAAATGTAAATATAGAACTCTACACACTCTATATCTCAATGTCAGAATCAAGCTTGAAATTATCTCTCATTGTTCAGCACATATTCAGGACTTATAGTGTATACCATCGAACACAGTGTTTCCCAACAGTACACATTTTTATTGTAACCCTGGACAAGCACACCTGATTCAACTTGTCAACTAATCATCAAGCCCTCAACGAGTTGAATGAGGCATGTTTGTCAAGGGCTACAACGAAACTGTGTACTGTTGGGAGTACTGGAGGACTGGAGTTGGGAAACACTGATTTATTCTTACATGAATGTTGTTTATCCCAGGAAACACTGAATTCTAACATGAATGTTGTTTATCCCAGGACATGAACCATAACTACTACACCTCTAAGATATACGGGGCTGCAGAGACTGCTGGTAAATCTCTATGGGTGGACATAGATCAGCTGGACCCAGAGAAGGGGAAGATCCACGGCCTGCTGTCCAACACACACAGACAAGCAGCGGTACGCAGCCTTAGGGCAGGGGATATCAAACCATCAGGGATAACGGCATGCTCCTGTTTAGTGCATGCTGTCATGACAAGTCAGCACCTAGCTCTTGCATTTATCAGGAGTCGACTGTATGTTTACATACTACACTGTATGATTTTTACAATATAAGTGATGATTACTCATACCTTGTGTCACCTTGTCTTGTCACTGGAACTCAACTTTGTGTTTGTGGTTTTTCTTCTTTCAGAGAGTTCATCTGTCCTTTGACTTCCCTTTCTATGGTCACATACTGAGAGAAATCACAGTGGCAACTGGTGGTACGTCAAACTCTGATGTATGAGAATGAGTATGTGACCATTAGCACCATTATAAGAGACCTCCACCATCACTTCCTGAAATAAGAGCTCTGTGTGTGTGTGTGTGTGTGTGTGTGTGTGTGTGTGTGTGTGCGCACGCTCTCCACCAGGTTTCATCTACACAGGAGATGTCATCCACAGGATGCTGACAGCCACTCAGTACATCGCCCCTCTGATGGCCAACTTTGACCCCAGTATGTCCACAAACTCCACTATCAGTTACTTTGACAATGGTAAGACATATAGACATAGAGCCAAACAGGCAATTGTGTCTCTATAGATGCTAAGCCCTGCTCAGTCAATCAAAGGTTTTTTAGAAAAGTCAATGACAACTAACCTTATCCATGTGCAGTGAAATAACATAGCTATACTGTCTTTGTGTATCAATCACAACGTTGGTGGTTTTAACCAGCCTGTGTGTGTTTCTCTGTCTGTCCTCTAGGCACAGCCTTGGTAGTCCAGTGGGATCAGGTTCACCTGCAGGACAGTGTCAGTCAAGGTCCATTTACCTTCCAGACTGCTCTGCACAGCGACGGACGCATCGTCTTTGCCTACAAAGAGGTGACGCCCCTCTTCCTCGCTAACTGTTACTTATTCTAGAGAAGTAGAGTTATTTGCCATTAGCTTTAATTGTAGTTCATTTGTACACCTCATTGTCCTGTGTGTAGGTTCCCATTGACATCAGTGAGATCAGGTCATTGAACCACCCTGTCAAAGTGGGCCTCTCAGACGCATTTGTGGTGCTTCATGAGATTGAGCAGATACCCAGTGAGTACCATCATACTTCACTACTCTACTGAGAGTGTCTCTGTGTCGTCGTTCCCCCCCCTCATCCCTGGTCCTCCAGTATGATTAGACCTGACTGCAGTCTGACCACCATTGACAACCTTCTCATTATGCCAGATGTTCGCAGGAGGACCATCTATGAGTACCACAAAGTGGACATCCTCAAGTCCAAGATCGCCAACTCTACAGCGGTTGAGATGCTTCCTCTGCCCAGTAAGTCTATAGCCCCGTTAATACCTGGTTCTAACATGTGTCCTGTTTCCTGATATTGTCCACATTCTGATTTTGCCCACATTTTCAGACTTGCGTCTACACATAGTGTTAAAATAGTGTCTCTTATCTGTCCACTGTGTCCACTGTGTGACCTGATTTCCTGGTCTCTCCCTGTATGCAAATCATTTGACAGATATTTTAAGACATACAGTGCTATCGGAAAGTATTCAGACCCCTTCCCTTTTTCCACATTTTGTTACGTAATGTATTATAATGACAAAGTGAAATAGGTTTTTTGACATTTTTGCACATTTATTCCAAATTAAAAACTGACCCTTTGCTATGAGACTCAAAATTGAGCTCAGTTGCATCCTGTTTCCATTGATCATCCTTGAGATGTTTCTACAACTTGATTGGAGTCCACCTGTGGTAAATTCAATTGATTGGACATGACTATATGACTGTCTATATAAGGTCCCACAGTTGAAAACAAGCCGTGAGGTCGAAGGATTTGTCCGTAGACCTCCAAAACAGGATTGTGTCGAGGCACAGATCTGGGAAAGGGTACCAAAAAATGTCTGCAGCATTGAAGGTCCCCAAGAACACAGTGGCCTCCATCATTAAATGGAAGAAGTTTGGAACCACAAAGACTCTCCCTAGAGCTGGCAGCCCGGCCAAACTGAGCAATCGGGGGAGAAGGGCCTTGGTCAGGGAGGTGACAAAAACCCAATGGTCACTCTGACAGAGCTCCAGAGTTCCTCTGTGGAGATGGGAGAACCTTCCAGAAGGACAACCATCTCTGCAGCACTCCACCAATCAGGCCTTTATGGTAGAGTGGCCAAATGGAAGCCACTCCTCAGTAAAAGGCACATGACAGCCCTCTTGGAGTTTGCCAAAAGGCACCTAAAGGACTCTCAGACCATGAGAAACAAAATGATCTGGTCTGATGAAACCAAGATTGAACTCTTTGGCCTGAATGCCAAGTGTCACGTCTGGAATAAAAACCTGGCACCATCCCTACGATGAAGCATGGTGGTGCCAGCATCATGCTGTGGGGATGTTTTTCAGTGGCAGGGACTGGGAGACTAGTCAGGATTGAGGGAAAGATGAACGGAGCAAAGTACAGAGCCATCCTTGATGAAAACCTGCTCCAGAGCACTCAGAACCTCAGACTGGGGTGAAGATTCACATTCCAACAGGACAACAACCCTAAGCACACAGCCAAGACAACATATGACTGGCTTCGAGACAAGTCTCTGAGTGTCCTTGAGTGGCCCAGCCAGAGCCCGGACTTGAACCTGATCTAACATCTCTGGAGAGACCTGAAAATAGCTGTGCAACGACACTCCCCATTCAACCTGATAGAGCTTGAGAGGATCTGCAGAGAAGAATGGGAGAAACTCCCCAAATACAGGTGTGCCAAGCTTGTAGCGTCATACCCAAGAAGACTTGAGGCTGTAATTGCTGCTAAAGGTGCTTCAACAAAGTACTGAGTAAAGGATCTGAATACTTAAGTAAATGTGATTTTTCAGTTTGTAATTTTTATACATTTGCTAAAATGTCTAAAAACCTGTTTTTACTTTGTCATTATGGAGTATTGTGTGTAGATTGATGAGGGGAAAAAACAATTTAATCAATTTTAGAATAAGGCCGTAACGTAACAAAATGTGGTAAAAGTGAAGGGGTCTGAATACTTTCCGAATGCACTGAATATTGATGCCATAAGTCAATGGTGCTTAACAAAATATAGAATAAGTGAAGGGGTCTGAATACTTTCGGAATGGACTGTATATTGATGCCATAAGTCAATGGTGCCACCTGTCAATGGTTTTAGAGGGCTGTATAATGATGATTTGAATGGTTTCACTGTCCAGATCCGACTACACTTGTAAGATATCAAGACTACCTCTAGAGGTGTTCAGGAAGATCTGATCACAATCAGACCACAATGCGTCTTTTAATTGTCTACACCTGTCCAAAAATGTGGGCACAATCAGAATGCGGATTAGATCAGGGCAAAGGACACATGTTAGAACCAGGCATAAACGGGGCTTAAGTCTACAGGGTTCTTTACAGTTAGATCTATGGTAATGATTTGTGCTGGGCTAGAGCAAAAATGTGCAACTTTTGGGGTACTAGGATCTCGCTTTTTTTCTCTCAGCTTGTCTTCAGTTCTCCAGCTGTGGACCCTGTGTGTCATCTGAGATCAGCTTCAACTGCAGCTGGTGCAGCAGACTACACAGGTAAAAGTCAAGTCCAGGTCAAGTTTGTTGTTGCCATTTGTAGGTACAGAATGCATACAGTGGAATTTTGCTGTGACATGAGTTCATAGAGAAAAGTAACAACCTATCGCTACCATATGAGTACCATGTTGTGTCCTAATGGTTGTTCTGTTCTGTTATTTATAACAGGTGCTCCAGTGGCTTCGACCGGCATCGTCAGGACTGGATAGATAAGGGCTGTCCTGAAGAGGTATTGAACAGTTCACTATTCACTTCATTTGTTTTCTTCTGCCTCAAGGAAACTATTTCAAAACTGGAAACTAATTCACGCTGTCTTGATTTCACAGGGGAAAAACCAGAGCTGTGTTCAGATGGTTCACACCAACACCAACACCACAACACCTTACAATGTTCCTAATGCTCACACTACAACCACTCCAGTTGCCACGACAAGAACAGTGCGACAACGGACTACCACCTCCATCACCACGACTACCTCCACTACCACCACTACCACTACCACTACTACAACCAGACCCATACCCAATGTCACCACTGCCCTCCCCTTCACCAGTGCTCCTACGGTGGGTAAGTAGTAGTACCACTACCTGGCCTTTTTGATCAAGACACGTTTACCATTTGGCGCCATGGGGATGCTAGGATGAGTGAGTGACATTTACCAAACCCTTTTACTATGACTTAACATTTACCAAGCCCTCGTGGGTTTACAATGACTTCATATTTTAAAAGACTGAAGTGGTGCAAGAAATAGTGTAAACTCGTTCTAGTTCACTCCTGCTTACACAATCCAATGCTTTGAAACCACTTGATGGGAAGTGAACAAGTGCACACCTGGAAGTGAACAAATGCACACTTCGGGTAGAAGGATATAGAATGGGAGTTGGGCTGCGGTTTGTGTTTGCTTTAGTTGCTCAGGAACGTAGAGATGACGAGGGTCCGGTCTGCAGCTATTTCCCAGCCTGCTGTCAGATAATTGTGCAGCCGCTTATACAACGCAATGACAAATACTGCACACTGGCACCATACTGCACACGCTGACCTTATCTGCTGAATGATGCTTCTCACTGGGTATCTGTCTATGTCGGACTGGGGAGGGTGGAAGGTACACTACCAGTCAAAAGTTTGGACACACCTACTCATTCAAGGGTTTTTCTTTATTTTTACTATTTTTTACATTGTAGAATAATAGTGAAGACATCAAAACTATGAAATAACACACATGGAATCATGTAGTAAACCAAAAAGTTTTCAACAAATCAAAATATATTTTATATTTGAGATTCTTAAAAGTAGCCACCCTTTGCCTTGATGACAGCTCTGCACACTCTTGGCATTCTCTCAACCAGCTTCACCTGGAATGCTTTTCCAACAGTCTTGAAGGAGTTCCTACATATGCAGAGCACTTGTTGGCTGCTTTTCCTTCACCCTGCGGACCAACTCATCCCAAACCATCTCAATTGGGTTGAGGTCAGGGGATTGTGGAGGCCAGGTCATCTGATGCAGCACTCCATCCCTCTCCTTCTTGGTAAAATAGCCCTTAAACAGCCTGGAGGTGTGTTGGATCATTGTCCTGTTGATAAACAAATGATAGTCTCACTAAGCCCAAACCAGATGGGATGGTGTATCGCTGTAGAAGGCTGTGGTAGCCATGCTGGTTAAGTGTGCCTTGAATTCTAAACAAATCACAGACAGTGTCACGACAAAGCACCCCCACACCATAACACCTCCTCCTCCATGCTTTACCACCGCGGAGATCATCCGTTCACCCACACCGCGTCTCACAAAGACACGGTGGTTGGAACCAAAAATCTCAAATTTGCGCTCCAGACCAAAGGACAGAGTTCCACCGGTCCAATGTCCATTGCTCGTGTTTCTTGGTGTCCTTTAGTAGTGGTTTCTTTGCAGCAATTCAACCATGAAGGCCTGATTCACACCGTCCCCTCTGAACAGTTGATGTTGAGGTGTGTCTGTTACTTGAACTCTGTGAAGCATTTATTTGGGCTGCAATTTCTGAGGCTGGTAACTCTGATTAAGTTATCCTCTGCAGCAGAGGTAACTCTGGGTCTTCCATTCCTGTGGTGGTCCTCATGAGAACCAGTTTCATCATAGCACTTGATGTTTTTTGCGACTGCACTTGAAGAAACTTTAAAAGTTCTTGAAATGTTCCATATTGACTGACCTTCATGTCTTAAAGTAATGATGGACTGTCGTTTCTCTTTGCTTATTTGAGCTGTTCTTGCCATAATATGGACTTGGTCTTTTACCAAATAGGGCTATCTTCTGTATACCCCCCCACCATGTCACAACATAACTGATTGGCTCAAACGCATTAAGAAGGAAATAAATCCCACAAATGAACTTTTAAGAAGGCACACCTGTTCATTGAAATCCATTCCAGGTGACTACCTCATGAAGCTGGTTGAGAGAATGTCAAGAGTGTGCAAAGCTGTCATCAAGGCAAAGGGTGGCTATTTGAAGAATCTCAAATACAAAATATGTTTTGATTTGTTGAACACTTTTTTGGTTACTACATGATTCCATATGTGTTATTTCATAGTTTTGATGTCTTCACTATTATTCTACAATGTATAAAATAGTAAAAATAAAGAAAAACCCTGGAATGAGTAGGTGTGTCCAAACTTTTGACTGGTATTGTATGTTCTCATCGTATACTGTTTATGAACGCATACATGCCTATATGGCTTTGGGGTAAACATTAACTACAGGCCTCAGAAAGCTGGTGACCAGTTTTGATTTAATTGGGCCCTTGGTGTCCAAACAAATCATTTACACATCCATATGTATTTTTCTTCTTTCAGATGACACAAAGATTTCCCTGCACACAGTAAAAGAAGCGTGTAAGTGGTTGCCAATCTCTTGCATGGTTCCAACATTCTCATGAATAAAACATATGATCACGATAGGCAGGGTTTGCACTTTTAAGACTATTACATTGGTTCCATTACACTGGCAAGCTAAATAAAACACACCTAAAGCATTTTTATGAAAACAAATATTATTTTGACCCAGATATGAGCAACAACCCAGCAAACAGTGAAGATTCCTCCAACGTTAGGTATCGTCCGTTACTTCTCCCCCTCCAGCTGCTGAAGTGGACGAGCCAGAGGAGGAGCAGAGAGACGTGCACCTACAGACTGGTCTCCTGGTGGGCATCTCGCTGGCCATGATTGCCATGGCAGCAGCTGTCATAGCAACGGTGTACATGTACAACCACCCGACCTCCAGCGCCAGCCTATTCTTCATTGAGGTAAGTAGGCCTACTGCCCCCTGCTGGCACTCACAAAGATTAATATGCCTTTATTTACACCTTGATTTGGTAAGGGAAGTCACTGAGAGCACATCTAATTTGATGTATTTTGTTAAAGGCTTAACACACTGTGACATTTAGGTCATTGAAGACCTTCATCAGACAGAACATCAGACCTTGTTTATGCCTACATGGAGTAGTTACACATTTTAGGGAAGCTCCTCTAATACGTATTTTTTTAGCACAAACCTCCTTTCAGTTCTTCTACCTGTGCTTCCGAACCCAGAGGCGGCCCGCACGCTGGCCGGTCATGAAGATGAAGTTCCGTCGCGGCTCTGGGAATCCTGTGTACGCCGAGGTGGAGGCTGCAGGGTTGGAGAAGGACAGTCTGGTGGTCATCGACCCCAAACACACCTTCATCATCTCCGGCCACGACCGCAGGGAGAGCTTCATGGACGGCAAGGACGGCTTCATCGTCCCCAACCAAAGAGAACGCTTCCTGTCAGACCATTGCTGACCGGACCTGACTGGAACTAACCGGATCGGAACTGGACCGGATCTGACCAGAACTAACAAGACCTGACCATTCAGGAGGCTTTGGGGGAAACTAGTATTTTATACTGTGGAAGGAGAATGTATGCTTTCGCTACCTTGCATTCCAACTAAGGTGCATGAATAGAGGAACAGACTGGATTTGTGAGAGACCGTATTCAGATACTTAGAGGACAAATGGACGTTTGTAGGGGGAAAAAACGTATATATTGTTAAAAACCAACATGTTTCGGCCTTCTTCAGTTGTACCGTGGAAGAACTGTGTCAAGTGGAATTCCTTGAACCAATAGATGGCCTTTTATTTAGCACATAAAAACCTCAAGGTTCAGAGCTGCTGAGGAGGAAAAACTAGCTGATTTCAAAAACAATTAAATACATAAGCTAAGAATGTCATCGGCATGTTTAACAGGTTTTGTTTTCCTGGTGGAATGCACTGCTACAGCTGACTGGAGATTGAAATGGCAGTGCCTCAGGAGAATCTCGGGCCTATGCAGAGTGACTGAACTCAACGACAGCTTCAGGACATGCTTGAACAATGTATTGATGATTCTCTACTGTAAATATGCTTTACCTGCTGTCATTTTCATGACATTTGAAACATTTCTAGTTCGTGTGAGAATGCTGTGATTGCAGAGGACTGGACACATAATACATTGAACTGGACAGATGAATTTACCTATACCTCTCAGGTCATTTAGTAGTGTTTACTAAATGCAGGCGGTGGAGGTAGGATGCTGTTGAATATCTATGGAAAACAAAGGCAGGAGCACTGCTTGGGTGAAACAAGTGGATGTTAGAGGGTGCTCTTGGAAGCACTCATTGCATTTACGTCATTTAGCAGATGCTCTTATCCAGAGCGACTTACAGTTAGTGAGTGCATGCATACGTTATTTCATTTTTTTCATATGGGCCCCCCGTGGGAATCGAACCCACAACCCTGGCGTTGCAAACACCATGCTCTACCAACTGAGCTACATCCCTGCCGGGTCTCCCAGTCGCGGCCGGCTACGACAGAGCCTGGATTCTAACCAGGATCTCTAGTGGCACAGCTAGCACTGCGATGCAGTGCCTTAGACCACTGCGCCACTCATTAGAACATAAAGGTTGTGTTTAGACAGGCAGCCCAATTCTGATATTTTTTCCACTAATTGGTCTTTTGACCAATCATTTCAGATCTTTTCACATCAAATATTTTTCAGCACTGATCTGATTGGTCGAAAGACCAATTTAGTGAAAAAAATGGCTTGTGTAAACGCAGCCAAAGAACTGTTGAAGTTTGTTTCCATAAAGATGGCCTTTATTTCTCCAGAAAGAAGCCCTGGGAAGATCTCAATTGCATACTCCTCGTGTCCTCTCTCCTCATCTCCTTCTCAAAAACCCAGGACGCGAGGAGCATGCAATTGAGAGGTCCCAGGCTCCATCAGCACCGGAGGAATGTTAGACACTGGTGCCACTTCCTCAGCTCAAAAACCCAAACAAACATATTTTTCCATCTCCTTAAGGTTTGCAAAGCTCTGTGTGTGGATGAATCTCAAGATTGATTACTTCACGGCTTTAGTTCATGACTTTGTTCCCACAATTGTAATTGTGGAAGACAACTACAGGTAGCCTACACAGTGAAACATCTGTCTGTAGGAGCACAATGATAAGCCAAAAGTAATTAAATTGTTATTTTATTGTACATAAATTACAACGTAATATCAAACATCAGATGTTCAAGGTTACAAAGAACTAACAACCATATGAGACTTTCTGTCTACCTGAAAGTATAATATTCTGTATGACCCATATTAATACAGTATAAGACTAATCATTGCTGATTGTTTTTTTTAATTAAGGATGTTATTTAGCACGTATTTCAATAATTGTCTCTTTTGTAATGATTGTTCCCATAACAATGATAGACCAGTGTCTTTTATAAATATTTATCAAACAGGTTAACTGTTAAAAACATGTTAAAACAAGCAGTAGTATAAATCATAGCTTGCCTTTCAGCCAATAGCCACACAGCTTGTTAGTTACATCTCATTCGTCATAACAACGTTCTCGTTATGCTATATAAAAATGGCTCTGGTCACCGATTGGTTGAAAGGTCCAATAACAAAGAGATGATTGACATTTCACTCAACAGCATATTTAAGATAAAGATTCTATAAAACCACTGCTTTGTTTCTTAACTTAATTCATTTATTTTTTACATCAAATTTACATAAAGTATGTAGCTACTATTTTCATCTCTTATTATAAAGAAATGTACAACTCTCGTCTTTATCCACAGTGCCAGAAGTAGTGGTAAAACTGTCAGTCTGTACTCTGTAGTGTCCTGGTGGTTGGTTAAAGGCAGATAGCACCCCTCTTACTGGACACTGATGGTACCATCCTGACTGGACAAGGGGCTCAAGGCACTGGTGTGGGGGGAGTTAAAGGGTCATGGCAGGGGTCAACATGCCTGGTCAGTCCGGCTTAGGTTTCTTTATCTGAGAAGAGATAAGGCATGTGGGTCAAAATACAAAACATGAGACCACACACTATTGAAAACAGGAACTAATGTGAATGTAGTAAATGTGTGACTATCTTGGCATATACAGGTAACTGCAAAAATAATGGAAAAACTTGAGTGACTGAGGGATACAAAATATACTGAAAGCAGGTGCTTCCACACAGGTGTGGTTCCTGAGTTAATGAAGCTATTAACGTCCCATCATGCTTTGGGTCATGTATAAAAATGCTGGGCAGGCCATTATCTTTTGGCACGAGTGGTCACTGAATGGTTTGATGAGCATGTAAACCATATGCCATGGCTGTCTCAGTCACCAGATCTCAACCCAACTGAACACTTATGGGGTCATGGCAGGGGTTATTCTGGAGCGGCCCCTGAGACAGCATTTTTCACCACCATCAACAAAACACCCAAAAATGTAATTTCTCATGGAAGAATGGTATCGCATCCCTCCAATAGAGTTCCAGACACTGGTAGAATCTATGCCGAGGTGGATTGAAGCTGTTCTGGCTCGTGGTGGCCCAACGCCCTACTAAGACACTTTATGTTGGTGTTTCCTTTATTTTGGCAGTTACCGCTATATGGCATATATAATTACATACTGTATGTATGTATATCTAACCCTTCAAGGGTGGAGCAGGTAGCCGCCTCCTCGTTTGACGTGACGAGTCAAATGTTTGTGGCTGCAGAGAGTCACGTGACACTTGATTAGTTTATTAGAAAATCACACGGTATGTGTTTGTTAAACATTTTTAGTGAGTGACAAGTTGGGACCCTGAGTTTTTCCTGACCCCAAACTGCTGATCAGGAAAACCTCCTGGTCCTAGTCCTAAGTGGCCTGGTCTGGTCCAGTACCTTAGGCTGTTTCTTGGGCTTAGAAAAGCGGTTCTGTGGGACTATGTTGAGACCTGCGATCTTCAGAGCTGCGATCCTGGTTGTGATGTCCGACACCTACAACAAAGTAGAAATATTAATATTCTCTGACTCAGATCAACTTAAAAGGACTTAAAAAACACAATTTAATGTGAATGTTTTAATGTCAATCATAAGGACAACTTTCTAATTCTTTCTTTAAAACATTTTCATTATGTGACAATCACCAACATTCAAACATACCATTTTCTATTTCTAATTTCACCATTCCCGAGGTAAAACCTGAAGTAAAATCCCCTTCTTTCTCCTTTTTTCTAAGCAAAAGACTGCGTCTTAAATGCCACAAAGGGCTCGGGTCAAAAGTCTTGCACTCCCATCAGATTTTTTTATTTATTTCAATATATTATACTTTGCTCAAATGCATGTAATGCCTGATAATTCCAGAAATGCATGGCTATGACATCTAGTTTACAGGGTGGCCAAAGTGGTTCCTAATTCAGCATAAGACATAGTTTGGCCCTTCAGAGGATTCTTAAATTACTCTTTATGTATTGATCAATGGAGATAATTTTTTTTGGCAACCAACCCAAAACCTTGGCAGTGATATAATTTAAATTGTTATGGTGAGTAAAAAAAAGATATACAGTATTTTGAGTTCACCTAATTTTAACATTATGTCATAAAGAGCACATGTTCAATAAAAAACTATTTTCCCATCTCAAGAGACTTAAAAATACAAAATGCGTGGTCAGTTTCTCTCTTCAGCTTAATTAAATAATGACAAATTATAGTCACTACATGACCGATAATGTATGGCCATCACTGTTGCAGTTGTTAATATGTATATTATTTTTATTTAACTTGTTCCCCTCAATGGTCATGCTGCCCCCTATGGTCATTCCCCCACACCCCCTCAACAGTCTATACTCTGCCTCCACCCCAATGGACATTTATTTATTCATCACTGCTACAGTTGGTATGATGTATGTAGTGTTATTTCTATTGTTGTTGTTTATTATTACCATTTTCATTATTTTATTTCACTGAGTCCTGCATGTTGGAGCTCGAAGCCTATGATTTTAACTGTACCCTGCAATCACACCTGCAACCCTGTACATGTGACTATTAAACACTCTGAATCTCTATCTAAATCATGTTTGTAGTAATTTTCGTAGTAATTGAAATGCATTTAAATGTATTTTAGTGCTTTTGGTATGTGTCAAGTACAATAAAAATACATTTTGACAAAATATATTGTAGTTGTGGCAGCCTATTAGAGGATCTGGAGGAGTGGCTTGTTGGAGGCGTTATAATATGATTTAAATATTGCCATACATTTTAATGTAAACATATATTTCTTACAAATACAATCAAATGTAATATATTTCAAAAGACATTTCCAAATCCTTTAAAAAATATAATCGATAAATATATTTTGAAATATAGTCTAAAATGTAATGTATTTTGAAATACATTAAATAAATTTTCCGATGCATTTAACACATATTGTGATATACATTTTACATACATTTATATATACACATTCAAAATACATTCCATAATACAGTGGGGAAAAAAGTATTTAGTCAGCCACCAATTGTGCAAGTTCTCCCACTTAAAAAGATGAGAGAGGCCTGTAATTTTCATCATAGGTACACGTCAACTATGACAGACAAAATGAGAAAAAAATATCCAGAAAATCACATTGTAGGATTTTTAATGAATTTATTTGCAAATTATGGTGGAAAATAAGTATTTGGTTTCTCAATACTTTGTTATATACCCTTTGTTGGCAATGACACAGGTCTAATGTTTTCTGTAAGTCTTCACAAGGTTTTCACACACTGTTGCTGGTATTTTGTCCCATTCCTCCATGCAGATCTCCTCTAGAGCAGTGATGTTTTGGGGCTGTCGCTGGGCAACACAGACTTTCAACTCCCTCCAAAGATTTTCTATGGGGTTGAGATCTGGAGACTGGCTAGGCCACTCCAGGACCTTGAAATGCTTCTTACGAAGCCACTCCTTCGTTACCCGGGCGGTGTGTTTGGGATCATTGTCATGCTGAAAGACCCAGCCACGTTTCATCTTCAATGCCCTTGCTGATGGAAGGAGGTTTTCACTCAAAATCTCACGATACATGGCCCCATTCATTCTTTCCTTTACGCGGATTAGTCGTCCTGGTCCCTTCGCAGAAAAACAGCCCCAAAGCATGATGTTTCCACCCCCATGCTTCACAGTAGGTATGGTGTTCTTTGGATGCAACTCAGCATTCTTTGTCTTCCAAACACGACGAGTTGAGTTTTTACCAAAAAGTTATATTTTGGTTTCATCTGACCATATGACATTCTCCCAATCCTCTTCTGGATCATCCAAATGCACTCTAGCAAACTTCAGATGGGCCTGGACATGTACTGGCTTAAGCAGGGGGACACGTCTGGCACTGCAGGATTTGAGTCCCTGGCGGCGTAGTGTGTTACTAATGGTAGGCTTTGGTACTTTGGTCCCAGCTCTCTGCAGGTCATTCACTAGGTCCCCCCGTGTGGTTCTGGGATTTTTGCTCACCGTTCTTGTGATCATTTTGACCCCACGGGGTGAGATCTTGCGTGGAGCCCCAGGTCGAGGGAGATTATCAGTGGTCTTGTATGTCTTCCATTTCCTAATAATTGCTCCCACAGTTGATTTCTTCAAACCAAGCTGCTTACCTATTGCAGATTCAGTCTTCCCAGCCTGGTGCAGGTCTACAATTTTGTTTCTGGTGTCCTTTGACAGCTCTTTGGTCTTGGCCATAGTGGAGTTTGGAGTGTGACTGTTTGAGGTTGTGGACAGGTGTCTTTTATACTGATAACAAGTTCAAACAGGTGCCATTAATACAGGTAACGAGTGGAGGACAGAGGAGCCTCTTAAAGAAGAAGTTACAGGTCTGTGAGAGCCAGAAATCTTGCTTGTTTGTAGGTGACCAAATACTTATTTTCCACCATAATTTGCAAATAAATTCATTAAAAATCCTACAATGTGATTTTCTGGATTTTTTTTCCTCAATTTGTCTGTCATAGTTGACGTGCACCTATGGTGAAAATTACAGGCCTCTCTCATCTTTTTAAGTGGGAGAACTTGCACAATTGGTGGCTGACTAAATACTTTTTTTCCCCACTGTACACAGAATGTCATATATTTTAAATGTATTTATTTTCACCGAATGGGCTACATAGAGAATAGAGGGGCATTTTGGACACTAGCTAGCTAGCTACAGTGCCTTCAGAAAGTATTCATACCCCTTGACTTATTCCACATTTTACAGCCTGAATTCAAAATGGATTAAATAAATAAAACATCTCACCCACCTACAAGCAATACCCCACAATGACAAAGTGAAAACATGTTTTTTAGAAATGTTTGCAAATTTATTGAAAATGAAACACAGAAATATCTAATTTACAGTGCCTTGCAAAAGTATTCATCCCCTTGGCGTTTTTCTTATTTTGTTGCATTACAACCTGTCATTTAAATTGATTTATTTGTATTTCATGTAATGGACATACACAAAATAGTCCAAATAGGTGAAGTGAAATGAAAAAATAACTTGTTTCAAAGAATTCTAAAAAATAAATAACGGAAAAGTGGTGCATGCATATGTATTCACCTCCTTTGCTATGAAGCCCCTAAATAAGATCTGGTGCAACCAATTACCTTCAGAAGTCACATAATTAGTTAAATAAAGTCCACCTTGGTGCAATCTAAGTGTCACATGATCTGTCACATGATCTCAGTATATAAACACCTGTTCTGAAAGAGTCTGCAACACCACTAAGCAAGGGGCACCACCAAGCAAGCGGCACCATGACGACCAAGGAGCTCTCCAAACAGGTCAGGGACAAAATTGTGGAGAAGTACAGATCAGGGTTGGGTTATAAAAAAATATCAGAAACTTTGAACATCCCACGGAGCACCATTGAATCCATTATTAAAAAATGGAAAGAATATGGCACCACAACAAACCTGCCAAGAGAGGGCTGCCCACCAAAACTCATGGACCAGGCAAGGAGGATATTAATCAGAGAGGCAACAAAAAGACCAAAGATAACCCAGATGGAGCTTCAAAGCTTCACAGCGGAGATTGGAGTATCTGTCCATAGGACCACTTTAAGCCGTACACTCCACAGAGCTGGGCTTTATGGAAGAGTGGCCAGAAAAAAGCCATTGCTTAAAGAAAAAAATAAGCAAACATGTTTGGTGTTCGCCAAAAGGCATGTGGGAGACTCCCCAAACATATGGAAGAAGGTACTCTGGTCAGATGAGACTCAAATTGAGCTTTTTGGCCATCAAGGAAAACGTTTTGTCTGGCGCAAACCCAACACCTCTCATCACCCTGAGAACAGATGTTTTTCATCGGCAGGGACTGGGAAACTGGTCAGGGTTGAAGGAATGATGGATGGCGCTAAATACAGGGAAATTCTTGAGGGAAACCTGTTTCAGTCTTCCAGAGATTTGAGACTGGAACGGAGGTTCACCTTCCAGCAGGACAATGACCCTAAGCATACTGCTAAAGCAACACTTGAGTGGTTTAAGGGGAAACATTTAAATGTCTTGGAATGGCCTAGTCAAAGCCCAGACCTCAATCCAATTGAATCTGTGGTATGACTTAAAGATTGCTGTACACCAGTGGAACCCATCCAATATGAAGGAGCTGGAGCAGTTCTGCCTTAAAGAATGGGCAAAAATCCCAGTGGCTAAATGTGCCAAGCTTATAGAGACATACCCCAAGAGACTTGCAGCTGTAATTACTGCAAAAGGTCTTATTTCTTGTTTGTTTCACAATAAAACATATTTTGCATCTTCAAAGTGCATGTTGTGTAAATCAAATGATACAAACCCCTAAAGCATCCATTTTAATTCCAGGTTGTAAGGCAACAAAATAGGAAAAACGCCAAGGGGGGTGAATACTTTCGCAAGCCACTTTACATAAGTATTCACACTTTATAGAAGCACCTTTAAGTCTTTAAGGGTATGTCTCTAAGAGCTTTCCACACCTGGATTGTGCAACATTTGCCCATTATTCTTTTCAGAATTCTTCAAGCTCTGTCAAATTGGTTGTTGATCATTGCTAGACAACCATTTTCAGGTATTGCCATAGATTTTCAAGTAGATTTACATCAAAACTGCCCTCTACCATTTAGGAACATTCACTGTCTTCTTGTTAGTAAGCAACTCCATTGTAGATTTGGCCTTGTGTTTTAGGTTATTGTCCTGCAGTGTCTGGTGGAGAGCAGACTGAACCAGGGTTTCCTCTAGGATTTTGCCTGTGCTTAGCTCCATTCCGCTTCTTTTTTATCCTGAATAACTACCCAGTCCTTAACAATTACAAGCATACCCATAACATAATAATAATGTGTTGCATTGGATTTGCCCCAAACATAACACTTTGTATTCAGGACAAAAAGTTAATTGCTTTGCCATATTTTTTTGCAGTATTACTTTAGTGCCTTGTTGCAAACAGGATGCATGTTATGGAATATTTTTTATTCTGTACAGGCTTCCTTCTTTTCACTCTGTCAATTAGGTTAGTATTGTGGAGTAACTACAATTTTGTTGATCCATCCTCATTTTTCTCCTATCACAGCCATTAAACTGTAACTGTTGTAAAGCCACCATTGACCTCATGGTGAAATCCCTGAGCGGTTCCCTTCCTCTTCGGCAACTGAGTTAGGAAGGACGCCTGTATCTTTATAGTGACTGGGTGTATTGATGTAATTGTAATTAATAACTTCCCCTTGCTCAAAGTGATATTCAATGTCAGCTTTTTTTTTTTTTACCAATCTACCAGTAGGTGCCCTTCTTTGTGAGGCAATGGGAAACCTCCCTGGTCTTTACGGTTGAATCTGTGTTTGAAATTCACTGCTCGACTGAGGGACCTTACAGATAATTGTGTGGGGTACAGAGATGACGTAGTTATTCAAAATTCATGTTAAACACTATTATTGCACACAGAGTGAGTCCACAGTATGTGGATTTGGCTATTTCAGCGACACCCGTTGCTGACAGGTGTATTAAATCGAGCACACAGCCATACAATCTCCATAGACAAAAATTGGCAGTAGAAAGGCCTTACTGAAGAGCTCAGTGACTTTCAACGTGGGACCGTCATAGGATGCCAACTTTCCAACAAGTCAGTTCGTCAAATTTCTGCCTGCTAGAGCTTCCCCGGTCAACTGTAAGTGCTGTTATTGTGAAGCGGAAACGTCTAGGAGCAACAACGGCTCAGCGGCAAAGTGGTAGACCACACAAGCTCACAGAACGGGACCACCGAGTGCTGAAGCGCATAAAAATCGTCTGTCCTCGGTTGCAACACTCACTACCGAGTTCCAAACTGCCTCTTGAAGCAACGTTAGCACAATAACTGTTCGTCAGGAGCTTCATGAAATGGGTTTCCGTGGCCGAGCAGCCGCACACAAACCTAAGCTCACCATGCGCAATGCCAGGCATCGGCTGGAGTGGTGTAAAGCTCGCTGCCATTGGACTCTGGAGCAGTGGAAACGCATTCTCTGGAGAGATGAATCACGCTTCACCGTCTGGCAGTCCGATGGACGAATCTGGGTTTTGCGGATGAAAGGAGAACACTACCTGCCCCAATGCATAGTGCCAACTGTAAAGTTTGGTGGAGGAGGAATAATGATCTGGGGCTGTTTGTTATGGTTCGGGCTAGGCCCCTTAGTTCCAGTGAAGGGAAATCTTAACACTACAGCATACAATGACATTCTAGATGATTCTGTGCTTCCATCTTTGTTGCAACAGTTGGGGAAGGACCTTTCCTGTTTCAGCATGAAAATGTCCCCGTGCACAAAGCGAGGTCAATACAGAAATGGTTTGTCGTGATCGGATTGGAAGAACTTGACTGGCCTGCACAGAGCCCTGACCTCAACCCCATCGAACACCTTTGGGAGGAATTGCAACGTCGACTGCAAGCCAGTCCTAATATCCCAACATCAGTGCCCGACCTCACTAACGCTCTCATGGCTGAATGGAAGCAAGTCCCCACAGTAATGTCCCAACATCTAGTGGAAAACCTTTCCAGAAGAGTGCAGGATGTTATAGCAGCAAAGGGGGGACCAACTCCATATTAATGCACATGATTTTGGAATGAGATGTTCGACGAGCAGGTGTCCACATACTTTTGGTAATTTAGTGTATTTAGGCTTGCCATAACAAAGGTGTTGAATACTTACTGACCCAAGACATTTCAGCTTTTCATTTTTAATTAATTTGTAAAAATTTCAAAAAGGCCAGTGACAAAAAAATATCTATTTGATCCATTTTAAATTCAGGCTGTAACACAACAAAATGTGTAAAAAGTCAAGGGGTGTGAATACTTTCTGAAGGCACTGTATGAGACACAGAGGACGTCCAGACTTGAACACACACCTGGAGGTCAGACTGCTGCACCTGGGCAGCAGCCGTTGCCACCTGCTCCTCCAGGTAGTACAGCTCCAGGTCTGAGGTGGCACTGCCGATGGCCCGGGCACACTCCTCCAGGTCGCCAAGCTCCGCCTCCAGGCCGTAAGCCGTGCCCGCCACCATGTACACCTGGTGGGCACAGTTCAGTTGGCACAGACAGACTGACTGACTGTGGTCATTTCAGTTGTATAATATTAACAGAGGTTAGCATCACACACCATTCTTAAACCCACAATGAATATAAGATATGTTGAAAGAACAGACAGACAAACTGACGTTCTCCTCCAGTTTGCTGAGTTGTTCGTCCAGCCTCTTTGTGTCAGTGTTGGGGGACAGTGAGGTGGTGTAGTCATCCCCCTCTACCCCCTGGAGTAGGTCCTCTGTCGCATTTAACACCTTCAGCACCTCAGTGGTGATACTGCGCAGTGACACCGCCGAGTACCTCTATACACACACACACACACACACACACACACACACACACACACACACACACACACACACACACACACACACACACACACACACACACACACACACACACACACACACACACAATTGATTGGATTTACACAACTTTTAGGCAATCCCCAAAAGCCTTCTGTTTCTGTGTGTAACACATCCATTAACGTGAGTATAACAGTTTTGAATGAGCAGAGAAGAGCCAAAGAGCAAAGAGAAAGAAATAGTGTTTGATTGATTGATTGATTGGTTGATTGGATTCATAGCGCTATCCCAGTTGCTCTTGGTAAAGATCAAGATATCAGTTAGTTTGTGATGTCAGCTGCTGTAGCAAAGCAGAAAGGAACTGGAGTGTGTCTTCTAGGTTCTAGTCATTAAGACTCTATATATATATATAAATATATGACTATATATTAGGACACAAAGCAATGGAACAAGGAAGGACGGAGGGAAAGGAAAGACAAGAAAGGAAAGTAGAAGGGTCTAGAGTAGCAAGCACAGAGTTAGTGTTACAGCTGTTGGTTGCTTTAGGTTATAAATGTCAGAAGAATTACACAGCCATATACTGTATTTTTTTAGCTAAAGCTAGGTGGCACTCTCTTCTGGCTCCTTAGCTCTGTTGACTTCTGTTTCTATCTCTTCCTTGTCGGTATTCTTCCCAAAATGATCCTCTTCTCTTTCTCCAAGAATCTCTATCTCCTTCTTGCTTGCTTTATCCTCCACCTTCCCACCTTCATATCCCCCTCTTTCTACTCTCTCGCTTTTCTCTTCTTCCATCTCTTGGGACGTCTCGTTCTTTGTCTGGTCCGGTTCCTTTCTCTCATCTACATTCTGTGGTCGGGGACTTGTACGCGTCTCTGTTTCAGTCTGATCCTCTTTCTCTCCAACCTTCTCTCCATCTCGCTCCACGGCGCTTTCTCCTGTCATATCTCTTTCTCTTTCATTCTCACCACCCTCTTCTGTCCCTTCAACCCTTTCTCCAGGTTTGACTCCTGTCTTATCCAAAGTGCAGAACCTGCCTGATAGCTGCTCCAGCATTAACATCTTATTCATTAGATATTCATCTACCTCTTCCTTTAACACTTTTTCTCCAACTTTAATGTTATTCTTTTCCTCTCCTCTCTCTTCTCTTTCTGGGTCCACCACCATCTCTCCATCCATCTCTACCTTAATTATGTCTCCTACACTCCTCTCTGCTCTCTCCTCCTCCTCTTCCCTCTCTCCTCATTCTCTCCCACTCTGTCCAGTTCATCTTCCGTAGAGGAGAATTGGGAGACTGGCCAGGAGGTCTCTCAAATTAGAGCTCAGTTCCTCTTTATCTCCCGTCATCTCCCACAGAGCCTCCGCGTCTATCTCCTCCTCTCTCCTCCCTCTCTCCTCCATCTCTCTCTCCATCTCTCCTCCATCTCTCTCCTCCATCTCTCTCCTCCCTCTCTCCTCCCTCCCTCTCTCCTCCATCTCTCTCCTCCATCTCTCCTCCATCTCTCCTCCTCCCTCTCTCCTCCTCTCTCTCTCCTCCCTCTCTCCTCCATCTCTCTCCTCCATCTCTCTCCTCCATCTCTCTCCTCCCTCCTCTTCCTCCTCTCTCTCCTCCCTCTCTTTTTCCTCCCTCTCTCCTCCATCTCTCTCCTCCCCTCTCTCCCTCCATCTCTCTCCTCTCACCCTCCTCCTCCCTCTCTCCTCCTCCTCTCTCTCTCCCCCCTCTCTCCTCCTTCTCTCTCCTCCCTCTCTCCTCCTCAGTCTATCTCCTCCCTCTCTCCTCCTCCGTCTCTATCCTCCCTCTCTCCTCCATCTATCTCCTCCCTCTCTCCTCCTCCGTCTATCTCTCCCTCTCCTCCTCTCCTCCTCCTCCTCCTCCCTCTCTCCTCCCTCTCTCCTCCTCCGTCTCTCTCCTCCCTCTCTCCTCCTCCGTCTCTCTCCTCCCTCTCTCCTCCTCTGTCTCTCTCCTCCCTCTCTCCTCCTCTCTATCTCCTCCCTCTCTCCTCCTCCGTCTATCTCCTCCCTCTCTCCTCCCTCCTCCTTCTTTCTCCCTCCCTCTCTCCTCCCTCTCTCCCGTCTCTCTCCCCTCTCCTTCTCTCTTCTCTCCCCATCTTCTCCTCTCCCTCTCTCCTCTCCTCCTGTCTCTCTCCTCCCTCTCTCTCTCCCTTTCTCCCCTCTCTCTCCTCCTCTCCTCCCTCCCTTCTCTCCTCCTCTCCTCCATCTCCCTCCTCTCTTCCTCATCCTTCCCTCCCTCTCTCCTCCTTCCTCTCTCTCCTCCCTCCTCCCCCTCTCTCCTCCTCCTCTTCTCCTCCTCTCTCTCCTCCCTCGTCCTCCTCCCTCTCCCCTCCTCCCTCTCTCTCCTCCTCTCCTTCCTCTCCTCCCTCCTCTCCTCCTCCTTCCTCCCTCTCTCTCCTCCTCTCCTCCCTTTCCTCCTCCTCCTCCTCTCCCCCCTCTCTCCTCCACATCTATCTCCTCCCTCTCTCCTCCTCCGTCTATCTCCTCCCTCTCTCCTCCTCCTTCTCTCTCCTCCCTCTCTCCTCCTCCCTCTCTCCACACACTCTATCCAGTTAATCCTCTGTGGATGAAAACTGCATGGCATTGACCTGTCTAGCCAGTCTACACAGTTTGGATGTCAGCTCTTCCTTCTCTCCCTCACTCTCTCTTTCTCTCTTCTCCTCCATCTCTTCATTGCTGAGACCCACTCGGTCAAGCTCATCCTCTGTTGATGACAACTGTGTGAATTGGCTAGCCAGCATATGCAACTTGATGGTGAGCTCCTCTCCTCTCCCCCTTCTCCCTCCCTCTCTTCTGCTCTCCTCCTTCCTCTCTTCCTCCCATTCCTCCTCCCACCTACCCACTCTGTCCAACTCATCTTCAGTGGATGTGAGCTCTGTGCCTCTGACCTGACTAGCCAGATTGATAAGTGTCGACCTCAGCTCTCCTCCTCCATCGCCCTCCCTCTACTTTGTCCTCTTCTCCTTTTTACTCTCCTCCGCTCTCCCTCCCGCTATCTCCACCTCCATCTGCCATAACCTCTCCTCCTCCTGATCTCTTTCTCTCTTCAGGAAGGCGAGATGAGGCTTCTGGAGTTTTGACCCTTGACATTCAACCTGACCTTCTCCTACCTCAGACTCGAAGTTGAGGGTGTCGGTGCTGGCGTGGTGGCCCAGCGAGTGTGATGGGATGCTGGGCTGCTGGCCAGCAGAGGCCTGGGTGTCTGGAGCCTCTGACCCCTGGTTGTTGTTGGCGTTGGAGGTCATTTTCCTGCTTATCTCCAGCAGGGCAGCACCCCAGGCCCCTTCACCCCCCTCAGCGTCGTCAGAGCCCATTTCATTGTAGGCGGATATCACACCGAACTCCCACTCCAGGACACTGAATACCAGCAACTTCCACTTGGTCAGCAGGCTGGGCCGAGACAGCTGGGTGCTCTGCAAGGCGATCCAATTCCCGTAAGGGCTCTTCAGCACTGAGGATGCACCTCACACACACAAGGGTAGATAGATGCCACACACACACACACCACCACAGACAGACATGTAAACACACATACACACACATGCACAGATGCACGCACACACACACACACACAGCAGATAGACAGGCGGAAACACAACCACAAAGGAGGAAGCCTTTAGCCACCAGTCTTTAGCTAGAGTACATCACTAACAGGTAACTCTGAAACGTATTACATAAGGTGTGTGTACTAAAGACATTTGTAAAGATGTGTGTGAATAGTAAATTGCAGTGGCCAGCAGGCTCTTACTGGAGTCGTCCAGGTGGTCAACACTCTTCCAGCTGGCCAACCCTGCCGCTCCTCCCTCCTCCTTCAGCCCCTGCTGAGAGTCCTGGGAAACCCCAGAGCACTGCATCACAACGTTGTCATCCAGAAGGGAAGCAGAGGGAGACCGCAGAGGTAAATACACAGAATTAAATATGGGTAAAGAGAGGTAAAGATAACCAACATATGTCACACTCCATATATATGTTCTGGTCTTATGTGACAGACTGGGTTTTTAACAGTGTTAGCCTGCTAAGCTAAAGCCTGGTCATCAGCTAACACAAGTCTTCATGTTGGGCAACCCATAGTCTCGAGTCACCATGCTTCCAAGTCTCGTTTATCACTCGGCTTTCTGAACAAACATGAAGAAGCCTGGCTATCGAGGTTCAACACCTGGGTTCTCTGCACACCACAAGACTGTGTTAGCCCTCTGAACTAAAGCCTAGGCAAGGTTACCGATCACATAAGCGTAGTTCCCTGAACCACCTTACGCTCCATGCTTACCCATAGAGAGGCCTTGGCACGGGCTGATGTGGTGATCTGGGAGCTGGGGCAGCTTGAAGCCAAGGGCTGGTCACCACTCTGGTTGTTTGGGGGCCAGTCCAGGTCATAGTCTGGCTTCATCTCAACCAGGTTCTTCCTCCGTCGGATGATCTAGGATGGAATTGAGTTGAGTTGAGTTTAATTGAATTGAAATTAAATTACTTTCTGTGCGATGGTTGTGGCCAGTTCCTCAATCAGCTCCTCCCTGAGGTCCCGCAAATACCTCGCCTCGCTCTGCATATCCTAGAGAGAACAACAACCAAGTCAGATAGACAGTCGATAAGATGATGACTCTTTTAAACATAAACTCTAAATATAAAATAATATCCTGTAAACTGTTTTAAAAAGTGGTTTTGGATATGAAACATTTTACAGATTAAAGGAGTGAGTAGGTGCAGAAGATGACTGTGTCACTGCTCGGCTAGTCTGTTACAAGAGGTACAGTACTACTGCATGCTACGATATTTAAATGGACAATAATGTAGAAGTGGGTTTGTTTAATTAGGGCAGTACAAAATAAATTGAATTGTATATGAATGATCTGCACATTTAATCTGCATTTGAGCAAATTAGAATGAATACAAATCTTGTAATGCAAAGCTTAATCAATCTTCAGAAGTCTTGCTTTCTCCCTTTACCCGCTGAATCATATGAGTGACAGACAGACAGACTGACCGACTGACCCCCGCAGAATATGTTACCTGATTGTCGGTGTGTCCCTCTGCCTTGTAGATGGCCTCCCCTGCCACCCTCAGTGCCACTGTGAAGGTCTCTGCCATGCTGTGCTCTGAGAAGAGAAAGTGGGTATAATAGAGAGAAGTCTCTTCAGATTAAAGTCTTGCTGAACACACACCAACCACCAGAGGGTGGTAGTACTTAGTTTTTGTTTTTAAAGATTTGTTTTCTTTTACATTTACATTACATTTACATTTTAGTCATTTAGCAGACGCTCTTATCCAGAGCGACTTACAGTTAGTGAGTGCATACATTTTCATACTGGCACCCCGTGGGAAACAAACCCACAACCCTGCCGTTGCAAGCGCCATGCTCTACCAACTGAGCTACACGGGACGTAAATGGAGGATCATTTGATTTCCAGTTTATAAAGAAACGTTTTTTCAAAATGATTGACGAGAAATGTATGGTCCAGCCCTCATAAACCATGTCTTCAAATATGCTATAGACGGATTAAATGTACATTTACATTGTAAAACTTCTGACAGCCAAATTTCTAACTCCGCTCATAACTTTTGGACTTTATAGCACCCCCAAAAGGCATGAGTCATTGTTAATTTTACACCATTGTGCTGTAGAATTTGTGAATTGTGTCTATTATATAATACATTCTATACATTAGTTTTATACTGGATTAAGCTTACATTTATCGTTAACTGTAATTGCATTAGTTACACTGAGTATACCAAACATTAAGAACACCTTCCTAATATGGAGTTGCAACCCTCCTCCTTTTGCCCTCAGAACAGCCTCAATTTGTCGGGGCATTGACTCTACAAGTTGTCGAAAGTGTTCCACAGAGATGCTGGCCCATGTGGACTCCAATGCCTACCACAGTTGTGTCAAGATGGATGGATGTCCTTTGGGTGGTGGACCATTTTTGATACACACGGGAAACTGTTGGGCGTGAAAAACCCAGCAGCGTTGCAATTCCTGACATAAACTGGTGCACCTGGCACCTACTACCATACCCCGTTCAAAGGCAATTAAATCTTTTGTCTTGCCCATTCACCCTCTGAATGGCACACCTACATAATCCATGTCTCAATTGTCTCAAGGCTTAAAAATCCTTCTTTAACCTGTCTCCTCCCCTTCATCTACACTGACTGAAGTGGATTTAACATGTGACATCAATAGGGGATCATAGCTTTCACCTGGATTCACCTGGTCAGTTGATGTCATGGAAAGAACAGGTGTTTTTAATGTTTTGTATACTCAGTGTATGTTCCAACATTCCCTCCATCTTGTGCCAATATCTGTTCTTTTTAAGTCTTGGTTCCAATAGTTTATATTTTTTTCATAGAGATTGTCAGTTGGATAGGCTCTCTGTAAGGTTTTGTATATCTTCCCTATCATATGAACATCCATTCCTGGCTTAAATAGGATTTCCTCAACATTGCTCTGATGTCTATTATGTCTAAAATATTTCAGATCTACATTTCGTGATATAAACTTTTAAGTTGCATGTATTTGAAAATGTCTACATTGGACAGCCCAAAATGGCTTTTTAATTCTGTCACTTAGTGTTTTGTTGGTCTGTTTTTCAGTCTATCTGCTCTTTCAATAAAGACATTAAATACTTGACGAAAGAGGAAATGAGGTATAATTATTTAACTACAGGTACCGTTGATGTGAGCGAAAATAGCTGTAAGTAGCAGTAGAAGTATTGTTGTCCTTTAGTTTACTCCAATCAGGGGAGGGATGGTAGGGCATATATAAACAAAGACATTAAATACTTAAGAATGGGAAAGACAGAAGCCTACCTTCACTCTGTCTGCAGAAGGCTTTGTCGCTAAAGACACTGCCCTCATTGCCGATGCTCTCCTCATACGTGCTGCCCTCTTCACAGAGACACAACACCCAGGACAGGCATGGGTCATGTTCAGCAGGCCACAATGTAGCAAAACAGTTTGAACCAGGAAAATAAAATGGGTGTTTCATATTGGACAACTTCAGGTAGGACTTCATCTGTTTCATATCTCTTTTTCCAGTTGTGTGTCTACTGAGCACACGCAGAGCATTCAAACACACAGAAACACATCAAAACAACAATAATTTTCCACAAGTATTTTGAGCATGACAGTGAACAAATACTCTCATAACATGAGCACACATTGCTCGATTAAACAATGATACTGTAGCCTCAGAGTAATTGCAGTCGAATCAGCGGTTTGCTTGAGCAGGGGTATTCTCTGTACATAGTCATAGATTCTCAGTCTGTTTGAGCTCTACTCACGTCCTCTAGATATGAACACAATGCTGTGGTTGTTATATAACTGCATTATAGGGTGTGTATGAGGCTGTATCAGCCTTATCCCTGTACTGTCGCAGGTCCAGTGTACAAGTAGTTCAGAGGTGGATGGGGGAACAGTAGGGTAATCTCCATTCCTTTAGAAGGGAAAGGTGGTTGAGGGACATGAACTAGATTTGAGAACAAATAAGTCTCATTCTGTTTTCTTAGAGACTCTATTGCTAACTGGCTGTGTATTGGGGGTGCACACACCATGAACACACACACTATTTCCTCCACCTCTCTCCTCCCCTCATCTCTTTGTCCCTTCTCTCCTTCCTCACTTTCCCATATATGCAGTAAATGTTTGTTACATGCATAGTCTCCTCTCCCCCTCTCCTCCCTCCCCCCCTTCTCCTTCCCCTCTCCTCCCTCTCTCCCCCTCTCATCTCCTCCACCTCCTCTCACCCTCTCCTCCAACTCCCCTCACCCTCTCCTCCCCTGACTCAATCAGCAGCCTCCAGCCTGCTTCCCCAGGCTCTCTTTGTGCTCTGCAGAGGACCTTGCTTAAGGCCCTAATGCCTAGGCTTTAGCTCAGTGGACTAACAAAGTATTGTCGTGACACACAGATGCCCTAAAGTTCCAACCCAGTCAGTCACACTTGCTATGCTTCACTAGCAAACCTCAATTCAATCAAATCCTATGGCCTAACCAGGCTGCCTGCACAAGCCTCTTTGTACTGCCAGAAAGTACATTTTGGATGACTTAACTTTGAACTTTGAGCTGACATTCATTGTTGTTCACTGCTACAAATTGGCTATGCAGAACTATGCTACCATTCTCCTGCTTGTGGTATTTAGAGAAGTCCCCGAGCATATTGAGTCACTAGCCTTTGGCTATGTGTGTGAGAGGAACATGTTTTGCTGGACAGCTTACACCAGCAGTGACGCCTAAAGCCTCTACAGACAAATTCTGCAAGAATTAGAATCTCAAGGAGCCATTACATAGTGGAGTTTATGCATTAGTGATACCTAATATTGATTATTCTATTGATTACCTTTACTGAACAGTGGAATTACAAGCAAAGGCTTGGAAATGACTACCAAGAAATAACAGCATGCTGCTCTATCACGTCTAACACAGTAGAGCATCCTCCTCTCATCTGGTAAATCAGGTCCAGCGAGAGAGAACGAGAGAGAGAGAGAGAGAGAGAGAGAGAGAGAGAGAGAGAGAGAGAGAGAGAGAGTACGAGAGAGAGAGAGAGAGAGAGAGAGAGACGAGGAGATAGAGAGAGATGAGAGAGAGAGCGAGAGGCGAGAGCGTGGATCTTGAAGCTCGAGAGCAGAGCTATTGATCCTAGAGAGACGGGTCGAGAGATGAGTAGAGAGATCGAGGATTATCTGAGCTTATAGCGATAGCGAGAGAGAGAGAGAGAGAGAGAGGACCCCTGCTACTGCAAATAGCTCCTGGCCAAAACAGCCCTGACTGTCCTCTCCCTGAAGGTTCTGGATGTTAGGAGGCTTTGTGAATATGGTAGAGGGCATTATTACACATGTACTATGTTGTCAAGCACAGACACTAATAATAGCACATGTCTGATGCATTCACATAGCCTACCTACCTACACACGCATACACTCTTAGAAAAAAAGGTGCTATCTAGAACCTTAAACGGTTATTCAGCTGTCCCCATAGGAGAACCCTTTGAAAAACCCTTTTTGGTTCCAGGTAGAACCCTTTTGGGCTCCATGTAAAACCATTTCAACAGAGGGTTCTACACAAAACCCAAAAGAGTTCTACCTTGAACCAAAAAGGGTTCTACCTGGAACCAAAAAGGGTTCACCTATGGCGACAGCCAAAGAACCCTTTTGGAACCCTTTTTTCTAAGAGTGTACATTAGGGCTGTAACGGTACTGTTTGGTACGGGGACATCGGTTTGGTCCGCACTGTGAACCCAAATGAATTTTTAAAAAGTAAATGAAAAATAAACACTAGGCCTATAGGCTATGCATGCCTATGCTGCGATATATTCCATTGCCTCGTAAGTAAATCTGAGCTGAAAAAACATGCTGGGCTATTCCGTAAAAACAAGGTTGTAAAAATAATTCTAAACTTAAAACACTGCAATGGGGATGGGACAAATTCTCTGACACTGAAACTAATGGATCCTATCTGTACTTTTCCAGGCAAAACCTTCTCAAACCTCAGCAACACTGATAAGCTTTCACTTCTTTGACCCTCTATTGGGACCCCAGTGATGACTCCCCTCAAACTAGCATAAGCACCAGGGACATGGCTTTTAATATTCTTCCCATTAAGCTTTTCCATTTGCAGAATCATCCCTTGCTGAGCCTGGCTACTACAAAATATTTGCAATCTATAATTTCCAATGAACCGGGCTAGTTTGACTTCACCTATCTCTTTCTCTACGATATTGGTTAATCGGATAGGGTGTAAATGAGGCCCTATGGTCTCATCAAACACCATCACAACTTTCCACTCCAACACATCACTACTATTGCTTCCTAGCTTGGCCCACTTTATGCTTTCTATACTAGACACTCCACTGCTTTTAGGATCATCCTCGCTCTTCTTCCTGTCTTTCCACTACCAACCATTCAGATCCTTGACCCTCATCCTCCCGATCCATATCATCAGAACTGACACCCATATTGTTCACATTCCAGCACAGCCTTTGCTTCTCCAACCTTTTTTCCATTTCCTCCACTTCGTCCGCACTACTCGCTGCAATCTCCAACTATCCGCCATATGTTCCTGCAAACCGTCCAGACGACCCACTGCCTCTTCCAACTCTGGTCAAGACTCTTCAACGTTTAGCCAGCCATCCTCTCCCTCGCGCTTTATCAGCTCTAGTTAATAAAATATTTTACAAACAGACTTTTCTGCTGCTTCCCTCACTCGGATCCGACCACTTCTATACAGAACTGGTCGTCCTCGGGTCCGTTCAGAATGGGTTTCTATATTGAAAAATGTATTTATGCATATTTGTCCGGATGGGAAAGCCCCAGGTCCGTTTCGGAACGGGTCCAACTTTTTAGACCTCTACTTGAGGCCCAACACAACAATCCCCGTCACAACAGACAATGCCAGGAACATTGTGAATGGCTGCTTTTTAATTTGGCGTATTTTGCCAAATAAACTGAAATTAATTACAGTAATTGTTGGCATTTCATTTTCCTGCTGTACCGTAACCGAACCATGACCCCAAAAACCGCAATACTCACCGAACTGTTACACCCCTAGTGCACATGTTCAAACACCCATACACATACGCATACACACTGTGGAACAGCCCTACAGCACCACACACACACACAGCCTGTCCTGAATGAATCTAGTGTACACCATACAAGGCTGCTAAGATATGACACTAGACACAAGCAGAGAGCCTTCACACTATTATGGTCGACGCTAATGTCCCAGTAACAGCAGTACCAAACACCAGTCCAGTACCTGTGAGTTCTCCCAGCGTTCCGTGCTCCGCCAGGTGTTTTCTGTATATTGTCTTCATTACCTTGGCACTAACAAACTTCTTGAAGCGACACTTCACATTGTTGTAGTACCACTCCAGGGACTGGGTCTTTAGAAGCCTGGCACAGATAGAACATAGAGAACAGAGAGAGAACACAGAGAGAACAGAGAGAACAGAGAGAACAGAGAGAGAGAGAAGATAGAGAACAGAGAGAAAGAGAGAAGAGAGAGGAACCTCGAAGAGAGAGAGTCAGGCAACAGAGAGCCCGCCTCCCCGCTCAGAAGAGAACCCGCCAGAGAGAACGGTCTATAACCCCCCAGAGAGAGAGAGAGAGAACAGAGAGAACAGAGAGAGAACAGAGAGAGAACAGAGAGAGGACTGTTGAGATGCCAGTTATACTGTACATACTGTATTTAGCAGACCAGTGTTGACATACCATTTTATACAATGTTTCTTTCTACAGTACAGTTACTGGTGGTGTTTGCACTTTTGGGAGTATTCTATTGGTAGGATATTTTGTGCAATCCACTAACAATGTGTAGAGCGTATGTCGGTGTTGAGTGTGTGTTACCACATCCTCTGAGTCAAGGGGTCCATGGCCCTGAAGGCAAGACACACACACACACACACACACACACACACACACCCTCATCTCACCTTGTTGAACCTCTGCCAACTTACTGTGGGAGACCTCACTCTTCTGATTGCAGACATTAGTGGTGCGTGGTTCAGTTGTTTTTTCACCAGCACCCGCCCGCAATTGCTAATAACCCATCCGCAACCGCCCGACTATATGTGATATATTGAAAATCTGAGGCCCGCACCCAACCCTAACCCGCAAATATAGAAAATGCATTAGGTTACAGTCAGATGGCCCAACAATTTTTTTGACAGGGGGTGCAGGATTTTATTTTGCCTGATTTAGATATGTTGCTTATAATTTCCAGCATTTTGTATGGCTATTTGTTAGTCAACTTGTCTATAATTAGATACATGTAGCTTCTCTTTTGTCATTATATGTTGCCCTAGAAGACTAAATGAACCCTTGCTTAACAGAATAATGTAATAGATCGACAGAATGAATGCTTCAATCTAGTTGACATCTGTCAAGTTTTCTCTGTCATCTTTCGAGGAGCAAAGACATTTAGGGACTGGGGAAAAAATACAAGAACAAAAAAAAAACGGGAAAAATGTTCTGTGCAAAATGTCCAAATGACATCAGTTTGACCGGTTGTAATGAAAAAGAAAGCTGTGAAAACGACCCAACGTGTTTCTGATAAGATTTCAGTTCGGCTTTGATGCATATTTTATGTTGTTGAAATATTATCAGCTTTTATTATGCTTTTATGATGAAGACAGCACCTATACAGATGGTATCTAACTGAGCATTGCATTCTCTGATGCAGAAAGAAAGAAATCATATTTCTCCACTCCTGTTCCCAAGTCAAAATTTTGCTTGCATTTAGTGTATCATTTCACTGAAATAAATGATTAGTTCTACAGGAGTTATTATTAAGGCTATTTGAGAGGTATAGACCTACAGTCAGTGTCCAGTTTTCAGTTTCCATTTAACCCATCTTAACTGTAGGCTACAGTCCCCTTGACATGCCATAGGCCTATTTGAAGTCCCATCTTGTGACTGTCGAATTTGTATAGCGCCTCACAATGCTTCACACATAACATACATAACCACACTGCTATCATCCTCTTTTACCACTTCACCAAATCTTTTCCAAACATTACTTTTCTGGCCCTCCCTTCTCTTTATTTTCAACTCTCCTTTCGCAGCTTTTGTCTTATAGAATTAAACTTCGACAATGTCCTTTTTGCCTCCGTGGATTTACTTTAACTTTTTCTGCTCATACCCAAAAGCATCATTTGGCGATTGGCTGTGTACTGTAGGCTATTTGGCACACGTACAGTTAAGCCCTAACGTTTAGGCTTATGCACTAATACCAGTTAGCCTAAAATAATGAAAGAAAAACCTCAATGTAGCCTATAGATATTAATTGCACAATAATGATACATTAATGGATTTTTTGTGGTATTGTTTCTCTTTATTCAATATTTAATGACCCTAAACTCATCCGCCCCGTGGATATAACAGTAGGGACTGCGGGTTATGAGTCAACCCACGCATCACTAGCAGACATACACTGAGCGTACAAAACATTAAGAATACCTAATATTGAGTTGCACCCCCCTCAGAACAGCCTCAATTCGACGGGGCATGGACTCTACAAGGTGTCGAAAGCGTTCCACAGGGATGCTGGCCCTTGTTGACTCCAACGCTTCCCACAGTTGTGTCAAGTTGGCTGGATGTCCTTTGGGTGATGGACCATTCCTGATTCACATGGGAAACTGTTGAGCGTGGAAAACCCAGCAGCGTTGCAGTTCTTGACACAAAACGGTGCGCCTGGCACCTACTACCATGCCCTGTTCAAAGGCATTTAAATATTTTTTCACCCTCTGAATGGCACACATATACAATCCATGTCTCAATTGTCTCAAGGCTTAAAAATCCTTATTTAACCTTTCACCTTCCCTTCATGTACACTGATTGAAATGGATTTAACAAGTGACATCAATAAGGGATCATAGCTTTCACCTGGATTCACTCAGTCTGTCATGGAAAGAGCAGGTGTTCATAATGTTTTGTACACTCAGTGTATGCCGTATGCTGTATACTGTATGCAAAGCAGCACTGGACATGGATCATAAATAATATGGCCGGGGTAGGCCGTCATTGTAAATAATATTATTTACCTTTCTTTACTGACAAGTCAGTAAAGAACAAATTCTTATTTACAATGACGGCCTATCCCGGCCAAACCCAGACGACGCTGGGCCAATTGTGCGCTGCCCTATGGGACTCCCAATCACGGCCGGATTGTGATACAGTAGTAGCTTGCTTCTTCAACACAACACAGAGGTTGTGTTCCCCGAGGACTGACATGATTTAACCATTACTGCATTACTGGACACAACAACCCAGATTAACCCTGTATTAACTGTTACATTAGTTCAACAGATACCCATAGACTTCCAGTCATTGTGCTAATGCTAGTTAGCATTGGTTAGCGAAACTACCTCTAACTTCCTTCATACTGGACACAGAGACATAAAAATGGTATCCACGAGTTCATCTGACTCTAGGGAAGTAGATAAAGGGCCTCATTGCCAAAATCCCAAAGTATCGCTTTAAGGTGTTGGCTTGACAGTCACTGGACCTGGGTTCGAGTCCCGGTCAAGGCTACCCCCCGAATTTGCTACAATACCTTGAACCGAATGAAAGATCAAATCAATTGGGAGAATTGTGGATTTACTTAAATCCTTTACCAAAGAGCAGTGTTACCTAAAGCAAACAAACTGCAACCAACACTGGTGGTCAGAGAGTCTTATAGGGTCATCTTCCCTCTTTTATCATACAGTATACCATGGCATTGTTGAATACTTGTTTCTGATTGGCTTGAAGGGCATTCTAGAGCATGCATTATTTCCCTATAACGAATGGTATATTTGCACGCTAACAATGTGTGCAATGTACATACACTGGTGGTATACTTAGTAAATATGTGAGTTGCATTTGCAGTTTTCAGGTGTGACAGTGTGTGTGTGTGTGTGTGTGTGTGTGTGTGTGTGTGTGTGTGTGTGTGTGTGTGTGTGTGTGTGTGTTTGTACATGCCATAGTGAGTATAAACTAAGCTGACACAGGCTGTCAACAGGTGTCACAGTCGGTGACGCCTGAGAGAGGAGACTGTGGAGATGACATGTTTATAACAACTATCAGTACACCCTGTGGCTACCTGACGTCTCCAATACTAAATACATCTTAGTCACTGAGGTCTGAGGCTCAACACAAGCTTACATAGCTGATAAAGATCATCACTGTCATTCACCCCTTGGTAAATAGGATATAAGGTACACGTACGCACACACACACACACACACAAGCACGCACACACTTAATCATGCACAATCATGCACACTCATGCACACTCATGCACACACACACACAGTCTTGTACAACTAACCTTGTGGGGACACACAATTCAGTCCCATTCAAAATCCTAACCTTAACCCCAAAACCTAACCTTACCCTTACCCTAACCCTAAAACTAACCCTAGATCATAACCCTAACCTAAACCTAATTTTAAATCCCCTAGAAATAGCATTTGACCTTGTGGGGACTAACAAAATGGCAGAAACACACCCCTCCACACTGACCTGCCCTTCTGGCACGCTGAACAGACCCAGGCTTTGTCTTTCTTGCTGTAGGAGCTGCAGGTATTGCAGACGTTGTACTGGCAGTCCAGACACTGGCGCTTGAGGTTGACCAGGAAGGTGAAGGGAGAGCTGCAGCGGATGCAGCGGCGCTCGTTGAAGCGATGCTGCCGGGAGAGCAGGGAGCAGCGACTGCCCTCCTTGTAAAGCTCCTGCTTCAGGTCACTGAGGGAGGATGAAAGAGAGCGAGGGAGGATGGGGGGGGGGGGGGGGATGGGGGGAAGGAAAGGAGGATGAGAGATAGGAGAGAGGTGGAGGAGGGTAGGTGGAGGAGGGTAGGAGGGTGGGAGGGTTGGAGACGGGCTGAGATGAGAGAGAGACAGAGAGAGGAGAGAGAGGATGAAAGAGAGAGAGCAAGAAGTAGAGAGAGGGAGAGAGAGAAGGAGAGAGAGACAGAGAGCGCGAGAGAGAGAGAGAAAGAGAGAGAGGAGGCTGCGGTTTTACGGTTGAGGGGGGGACGAGAGAGAGAGACGCGAGCGGCGCGCTGCGCTCGCTCTCGCGCTAGACCGCGCGCGCGCGCGCCTCGAGGTGTTGTGGAGGTGGGTGCCCTGCCTGCGCTGCGAGAGGGAAGAGGATGAAGCGAGATATTTACCTTTGCAGAGGATATTCCCCTAAACCGATCAACCATGAGACTCAAACTATCCACCTCTGCTTGATTTTTCACTAAAATAACGACATCATCAGTAATAGCCCTAGAGACGTCCAAAAAATCCCAAATCAGAGAAATGTTATCCCCTATCTGCCGGCTGGGAACACAGTCAGACTGGTGCTTTTGTATGATTTGCCCCATCACCTCCCTCAGCCTGTTGGACAAAGCCTTCAACAGGATCTTATAATCAGTGCACAATAAAGCCACTGGCCTCCAGTTCTTCACCTCCCTAGGATCACCCTTTTTTGGCAGTAGGGTGAGCCCTCCTGCAGTAGGGACAGCCCTCCTGCAGCTTATCGGTAGTAACCCTCCAGTCAAACTATTGTTAACTACTGCTAGTCAATCCTCTCCCAACATAGCCCAAAAAGACTTAACAAAGTCAACGGGAAGCCCAATGAATAATTCTTCTTTGTCCATTATTTTTCTCTAAACCAAAGAAACATTTCAGAGATTCCCTGAAACTTACTTTACACCAATGCCCCCTGTGATCTGATACCCAGCAGGTCTGCCAATGCTGCTTTTTTCCTCGAGGGCCTGAGTATGGCCTCGTCTCCTGTGGTCTCAACCAACAACAGGAGTTCCACTATTTCAAACTCTAGGGCTTTCATTGATCTGGTGATGTCTTTGGTGACATTACATTTATACATTTTAGTCATTTAGCAGACGCTCTTATCCAGAGAGACTTACAGTTAGTGAGTGCATACATTTTTCATACTGGCCCCCCATGGGCCATACACATTCATTGTGTATTGATTACAGAATTGTTGAATCTGGATTTTCCCTTTATCCCACCACTCTTGAAGGGATACAAAACGGGTCTTTTGAGACCTCCACCTCTCCCAGAAAAAACAAAAACATTTCCTGAAGTGAGTATCACTCTATAAAGTTGTATTAAAATGCCAGTATGCACTTTTGGGTTTTACAGTGTTAATGAAACTGACAGCGTTAATTAAACTTATTTCTGTTATTAAACAATAATCTGAAAATCCCACTGGGGTTATCACACTTGATTTAAAGACCTGAGATTGATGCTCAAAACAATAAAACCTAGCTAATCTGGCCAGAGACATGGTGTTCTCTCTCACATGAGCCCATGTGTACTGTCTCGTGCCTCCATGTTGACTCCGCCAAATATCACACAGTTCATGTGTGAGGCGTTTTTTAAAAGTCCTTGAGGCTATATGAGGTTCTTTGTGATTTCTATCTAAATCACTGACTGTGCAGTTGAAATCCCCAGCAAGAAATAACTAATCCTCAGTATTACATTTCTCAATGGTATTTGATAATGTCTCTAAAAAACATACCCTCTCAACTGCCACCACTGGGGCATATACATTTATCAGACACATAGTGATGTTTTCATACCTCACTCTAACTTTTAATAACCTCCCCTCAATTACCTCTTCAACCTCATATGACAAAGGCAAAAACCCTTTTGAGAACAGGATGGCCACACCCTCACTTTTTGAGTTTTTATGACTACACACTACTGTTCTCGATTATCGTAGATTTATCGGTGGTGACAGTGTTTCCTAGCCTCAGTGCAGTGGGTAGCTGGGAGGAGGTGCTCTTATTCTCCATGGACTTTACAGTGTCCCAAAACTTTTGGGAGTTAGTGCTACAGGATGCAAATTTCTGTTTGAAAAAGCTAGCCTTTGCTTTCCTAACTGATTGTGTATATTGGTTCCTGACTTCCCTGAAAAGTTGCATATCGCAGGGGCTGTTCGATGTAATGCAGTACGCCACAGGATGTTTTTGTGCTGGTCAAGGGCAGTCAAGTCTGGGGTGAACCAGGGGCTATATCTGTTCTTAGTTCTGAATTTTTTGAATGGGGCATGCTTATTTAAGATGGAGAGGAAAGCACTTTTGAAGAACATCCAGGCATCCTCTACTGACGGAATGAGGTCAATATCCATCCAGGATACCCGGGCCAGGTCAATTAGAAAGGCTTGCTCGCTGAAGTGTTTTAGGGAGCGTTTGACAGTGATGAGGGGTGGACCCATTACGGACGCAGGCAATGAGGCAGTGATCGCTGAGATCCTGGTTGAAGACAGCAGAGGTGTATTTAGAGGGTAAATTAGTCAAGATGATATCTATGAGGGTGCCCATGTTTATGGATTTAGGGTTGTACCTGGTAGGTTCCTTGATTATTTGTGTGAGATTGAGGGCATCTAGTTTAGATTGTAGGACGGCCGGGGTGTTAAGCATATCCCAGTTTAGGTCACCAAGCAGTACAAACTCTGAGGATAGATGGGGGGCAAGCAATTCACATATGGTGTCCAGGGCACAACTGGGGGCTGAGGGGGGTCTGTAGCAAGCGGCAACAGTGAGAGACTTATTTCTGGAAAGGTGGATTTTTAGAAGTAGAAGCTCAAACTCTTTGGGCACAGACCTGGATAGTATGATAGCGCTCTACAGTAGATTGCAACTCCGCCCCCTTTGGCAGTTCTATCTAGACGGAGAGCCAAGATTCAGACACTGCTAGAACATCAGGGTTGGCAGAGTGTGCTAACGCAGTGAATAACTCAAACTTGGGGAGGAGACTTCTGATGTTAACATGCAAGAAACCAAGGCTTTTACGGTTACAGAAGTCAACAAATGATAGCGCCTGGTGGATAGGAGTGATACTGGGGGCTACAGGGCCTGGGTTAACCTCTACATCACCAGAGGAACAGAGGAGGAATAGAAGAACTGGTCTTCTATTACACCGTTTGGGCGATACAAACAAAATAGCAAATCCAATTTGTTTCTTGTCCATCAGAATCACCCTGACTGAATCAGGGAGGAGAAAGAAAGAGAGAAAGAGAGAAAGAGCGAGAGAGAGAGAGAGAGAGAGAGAGAGAGAGAGAGAGGGCAGATGACACAGGGGATAATCTTAACAGTTTAGATGCTCAGGATGAAAAAATTAAAGGCATGAATAAACAAAGATTACGTAATGAAGTAATACTACACCACGGATGCACTGGCCTGCCAGAGTGCTGGGTCTGACCCCATTACAGCAGAGGCCAATATAAAAATTACACATTACACTGCTGCAATATTGTAAGTATCTAGGTATTTTTTTGTGGAGATCACTGCAGTTTCATTGAGGTCAAATGGTCATATGGAGCCCTGTTTCTTATGGTAGATTCCCAGGCTACTGTAGTAATGTAGGGAGTTAAAATACCGTACACACAAAGACAGCAGTGCAGTTCCACAGCAGGAGGACTTTCTAGCTGAAGGCAGAAAACAAGACTCCTAGTGACCTGAGCTATGTCAAACACAATTATCCTCAGACAACTCTGGCAGTCTACTGAAAACAACTTCACTCCTACACACTCCCAATCAGTTGTGTGTGTGTGTGTGTGTGTGTGTGTGTGTGTGTGTGTGTGTGTGTGTGTGTGTGTGTGTGTGTGTGTGTGTGTTCGTGTCTGTGTGTCCCATAATCGTCCAAATGCAGAAGACACAATGTTTCCTTGTCTGACCTGCCAAGCTCATGGGTTTGTCCTTAGATGCTCTTTGTATTCAGTATGGGCCCACTTGCTGGCCAACAGATTTTCTTGTGGAGTTTGCATTCAATAGGGTTTTCAGTACATTTATCTTAAGCCATTCCTTTAAATACTTCTACTTTTAATTAAAATGTTGTTGACAGATTCACTAGAAGAGATCGAGAGAATGGCTTCAGAATATAGGGATCAATGAAAGAAAGCCATTTAAATATATGCAATATCATCCACTACTGCTAGTGACCCTCAGGAACAAACAAATGGACGTGACAGAGGAAAGAAAGGAATGGAATGGAATTATGCTAAATGTAGGCTACAAATTGAAGGAAACTAACACTAAAGTGACAGTTATAAATGTATGTGGGTATTACTGATGGTGGCTCCCAATAGGGGATGATATGATACATGATACAAATTGTAAAATAAAACGGAGAAAAGCCAGGGTCTCCAAACTTCATCCTTGTAATTTATGAGGGCATACAATAAAAAAATCGGAATAACAGCATAGCTATTTATAACATACTTCACTGTGGGAAAGGGGGCCACAATACATGTCATGTTGATATGATTTTCAGTTTGCTTCCATATGACTGGTTTCACATTCGTCTCCAGGGATCATAAGGAAAAATAATCTAAAACATTTGCATTGTGTATTTACAATCGCCTTCTTCAAACGGATTACTCATTTACCTAGCTCTTATCAATATCTCTTATCAATATATAAATAACAGTGCATGGACCCAAGGGGCAAAAACTGGTTGAATCAATGTTGTTTCCACGTCATTTAAAAAAATTAAAATAAAATAAATGTGATGGCGTTGAATAAATGTGGAAAACTGATTTGAATTGACAAAAAGTCATCAACATAAGGGAATTTCGTCTTTCTTTTACCCAACTTTTAACCTAAATCCAATGACATGGTGACATTGTTAGTTGATTTCACATTGAATTCACGTTAGTTGACAACTCAACTGAATGTAAATCAAAACTAGACGTTGAACTGACGTCTGTGTCCAGTGGGGAGATTCTATTGGAAAAAATAAAGAGTATACGCTTTTTCCACTTAGAACCGGTAGGTTCGCACAACCTTATTCATGGTTTCTTCGCACGTAAAAGGTGGTGGAATTATTAGGGAATTAAGTCAAGGTCAGAATACGGCGTATTTGTAGACACACCTCCGCCACGCCTTCATTTCTTAGATCTCCACCTAGAACAAATAGCAGGTAAATAGTGCATACAAATTGAATTACGTTCCATTTACATGCGCTTAACTCAGGTCGGATTCCCCATCTATGTGGAATGCACAACCTGCACGTGAATGCATGAACCAGAGGCACCCCCGCACATTGACTCGGTACCAGTACCCCCTGTAGCCTCGTTATTATTATTTTATTGTGTTACTTTTTAATTAATTGTTCACTTTAATTTATTTAGTAAATATTTTCTTAACTCTATTTTCTTAAAACGGCATTGTTGGTTAAGGGCTTGTAAGTAAGCATTTCACGGTTGTATTCGGCACATCTGACAAATACATTTGTGAGGTGCTGTGGGCCAAGTAGTGTGTGTCCACTGGTGCCACTGTAGAGCCGATGCCAGCCATGCCAGGCTTGCTCAGGTAAGGACATTATTATTCCACACAAACAGAACTGACAATAACAATACCCTCTTGAATTATGTGTCGGGCTAGTGGTTTTTTCCAAGCACATGACCTGCCCAGGAAAAACTATAGGCTCTAGTAACAGCCTACAACTAGCCAGGGCCCAGAGGTTTTCCTAGTCAGGTCGCATGGTCAGCTCCCAGCTCTAATTATGAGTAATTAAACCATGTTTCTCATGCCTCAACCCCAAACTGAGAATTCCTGCAACCACCCCAGTTCAGTAAACCAACAACTAATTGCAGCTGACCAATCAGTGGGGAGCTATCAGGGCCATGGTAACAATCACAGGCTAAAGTAATTGCAGACATTTGCCAGCTGGCTAACGAATATGACTAAATTAAGATTGAAACATGGAGCAGTGTTAAAGTTGGACAGGAGTCATCCTACCAGGCTTTAATCTGATTGGACAGGAGTCTTCCCATCAGGGTTTAATCTGTTTGGACAGGAGTCCTCCCACCAGGCTTTAATCTGATTGGACAGGAGTCCTCCCACCAGGCTTTAATCTGATTGTTTAATTAAGCTGAGGAGGCTGGAGAGGGTGCTAGGGCTTCTTAGATGTGTGTGTGTGTGTGTGTGTGGTAACAGGTCATCTCTAGGGACAGGAGTTTTTCCAGGTCAAATTAAATAGTCAGGAAAACTACAGTCACAGACGACAGACATCCAATTATCACTTGAATTGTGCGACGTCCCATTATACAAGTAGGGTATGTACAGTGTATAAGTATTCATTTTTATTTCCACCTTAGATACTCCTAGTATTTTTGTTACTATATGAATGATGGAGGCCACTGTGTTCTTGGGGACCTTCAATGCTGCAGACATTTTTTGGTACCCTTCTCCAGATCAGTGCTTCGACACAATCCTGTCTCGGAGCTCTACGGACAATTCTTTCGACCTCATGGCTTGGTTTTTGCTCTGACATGCACTGTCAACTGTGGGACCTTATATAGACAGGTGTGTGCCTTTCCAAATCATGTCCAATCAATTGAATCTACCACAGGTGGACTCCAATCAAGTTGTAGAAACATCTCAAGGATGATCAATGGAAACAGGATGCACCTAAGCTCAATTTCATGTCTCATAGCAAAGGGTCTGAATACTTATGTAAAAACGTTTTATGTTTGTATTATTATAATTTTTTACAAACATTTCTAAAAACCTGTTTTCACTTTGTCATTATGGGGTATTGTGTGTAGATTGATGAAGATTTTTATTTATTTAATCCGTTTTAGAATATGGCTGTAACGTAACAAAATGTGGAAAAAGTCAAGGGGTCGAAATACTTTCAGAATGCACTGTACATAGATATATTTCCACTGTAAATTGCATTCCTCACTGTAAATGTACTTACCCTCTAAGTATCTATGTTAACTGTATTTCTATTGTATATAATGTATGTAGTGCAAACTCCATGTCTGTATTCTGTCTTGTGTACTATGTTTATTGCTGGCAGCACCAGCTCATTAAGTCAAATTCTGGGTATGCGTAAATGTACTTGGCGAATAAAGGTGATTCTGATTCCGATCCAACTATATGGTGCAAAGGTCCAAACTCACCTGAGGCGCTCGTCCTCTTTCTTTCAGAGCCTCATGTCCCTTTGCACTACCTGTAGAACGTGCTCCGCCTCATCGTCCGTCAGGTCAGACAGAAATACCTTCCTATCCAGTCCTTACCTAGTATAATTTGTCTCCCTGTGTGCAAGAAATTCAGCAAGACAGACTGAACTGTTCCGTTAATGCACACTTCTTTAAACCTCTCCTTTTACAGAAGACTGAATTATAATTAGTCTCTTTTCACTTAACAGTGAGATGCCTTTACTTGAGTGAAAGAATAGAACCATAATCATCCACAAATTAAATATGACCGTAGGCTCTGACACTCTCTTAAATCAAGATACCATTGTCTAGATTTGTTTCAAGTTCTTCATTTCCGCAAAGACAGAATACAGATTACGGTTGGTATTTTGCATGTGCAGGAAACACTAAAGAAAATATTTAAGGTGAACAATGGTGAATGAAAAGCTCAACTAATGCTCAGAGCTGGAAAACAAGACTGAATACAAGATTACAAGTGTGACTGATTGAAAGAAAATAAGTGCGGATGGAATTAAGGTATGCTGTACTCTCAGATTGAACAACACATTGAGCTGTCTGACTCTTCAGGAGCAGCCAAACACCCACCAGACCTGGGTTCAAATACTATTAGAAATCCTTAAAATAATTTTAGCGTTTGCTTCAGCCTGCTGGCAGTGCCAGATGGGCGGGGTTTGCACTTTTGCAACTGTTCTATTGGTTCCATTGCGCCAGTTAAGGTCAATCAAGCCCAGCTAAAAAATTTGAAATGATTTTAAATTGTATTTACACGCAGGTCTGATACCCACCACTGGCTTGTTAATAACTCCTGATTAAAGCACTAACTACAGCAGGTGATTAGTACTCTGGTCAAAAGTAGAGCACTATATAGGGAATAGGATGGCATTTGGGACGTAGCCTAGGACTGCTCTCAGCACAGCAGCACCCTAAACCCCATGGTGAGAGAACACACATTTCAATATGTGTGTGTGTGTGTGTGTGTGTGTGTGTGTGTGTGTGTGTGTGTGTGTCTGTGTGTGTGTGTGTGTGTGTGTGTGTGTGTGTGTACAATCCTGCTTATCCATTCAGTGTCCCTGCTTTTTGAACATCTTCCAGCCCAGGAGAAGAAAATATTCAAACAGAGCCATAGGTGTACTGAGATAACAGTGAGAGCCTATGTTTACAACAGTACAGTGACAACACTATAAAACAGCGTTGCTTGCTTATGAGAGAGAGAGAGAGAGAGAGAGAGAGAGAGAGAGAGAGAGAATAGAGAGAGAGAGAGAGAGAGAGATGGACTGTACATTAGTGAATAATTTGTTATTAGGCTATACCAGTATTACCTTGTGATGATGGTAATGATGAACAGTTAAATCAAATGGATATTGATGAATGGGCTGTTAGGCTATTCTGCTTCCTCATCAGTCATATCCAAACTTACCATAACTTTGACAGGATGTAATAATAAAAAATGTATTTGTCACCAAAAATCTATCTTATATCGAAACATGAAATGTAGATAAATAAGTAACTCACCGGATCCGTGTGCTAGGCTACTTCTTCTCAGGTTCACACCGGTACAGTGAGCAAATCCCCGGTCTCCGGCCCGATGTTGTGCAAGTCAGCTGCCATGTGCTCATTGACATGATTTATGAAAGCCAGAAACACTGCAGGCTACATGATCATATCTGTGTAAGTTAAGTCCATTTCATTCTCACTTCATGTTAGTCTCTTCAGAATGTCGACTGTCTTTTTAGGCAACTCATGCATAGGCCCAAAGCTAGTAGCCTATGTTTCATTCTATGTAGCCTGCAGTAAGGAAAGGGTGGCATCTGAACTGAACTGACAAGAGCAATCGAAGTTGCGAACACCTGTGCTGTGCGCTGATGGCGAAAGAGTCTATCAATCAGATCACTGGATATAAACTGTTATTTTCCTGCTTGGAATGAACGCGGTACACAGTAGACTAAACTGGCAATTAGGTTTTATAGCCCGCCAGTAATATCACAAGCACTAGCCTACTGTAGTTTCATTGATTGACAAAAGTTAATAATAAAGCAACACATTTTCCACTGGGTGTGAATAAAGGCATTATGTTCTAAGCTTCCTTCATCCATTTCTAAGGAGCAACTAAATCTGGATTTTTTAAGTTAAAACTTCTCATGGAACAATGTTTAACACTCCATAATCATATTGGCCAACTAAACCTGTGGGCACATTCCATGTGGGCACATTCAATCACATTTTATGTAAGTCATGATGATCAACTCAAAGCTCACAGAGGTTTTATTCCTGGTATTCCTCTCCCATTCAGATAGCCTGGAGCCTGAACTCTTTGCTCCTCATAGCCTTAGGCTACTGAACCCAACAAGAAAACAATGCAAAAGGAGAGAGAAAACAGGTGCTCAATGGCAGGAGATGGTGAAATAAAATACAATTCATAACCAGGAAACTTCACAGTCTGAAAAGAAAAGCAATCTCCTGCTGGAACAGTGAATAGTCACATAGCTCCTGCTGGAACAGTGAATAGTCACATATCTCCTGCTGGAACAGTGAATAGTCACATAGCTCCTGCTGGAACAGTGAATAGTCACATAGCTCCTGCTGGAACAGTGAATAGTCACATAGCTCCTGCTGGAACAGTGAATAGTCACATAGCTCCTGCTGGAACAGTGAATAGTCACATAGCTCCTGCTGGAACAGTGAATAGTCACATAGCTCCTGCTGGAACAGTGAATAGTCACATAGCTCCTGCTGGAACAGTGAACAGTCACATAGCCCCTGCTGGACAGTGAACATTCACACTGTGAGATTTCCTGGGGGAAGGAGGCTTTTTGTAGCCTGGTCCCAGATTAGTTTGTGCTGTCTTGCCAACTCCTATGGTCATTAGTGTGAAACAGGTCTGGGACCAGGCTTTTTGAGCAGGAAGTGAGTGTTTGGAGGATAAAGCTGCTGGACGATTGTTTTACGTGAAGCCGACTCACATGCCTTGCTTTACTGTGGGTTATAAAACAAAATTAGGGATTATCTTTTTTGTCAGCGGTCCAGCCAAAATGAAAATGTTAACGGTCTTGATGAAAATAATAAATTATGTGACATTTTATCAAGTAACAATAATGTAAATTCCTGCTCCAAAGCCTGCCACCTTATCCTCCAACGGAGACAGTTTGTTATAACTGCCTAATTGTCCTTTTATCCACTGTTTATGCATACATGTGTATAGTTGATGTAATGCATTATAGATGATACCTGTACCATGTTTGACTATGACTGTTTTCAGTGTCTCAAAACTCAATTTGAGTGGTCCTCAATGTGTTTAAAAATAATTTGTATTTTGTATTATTGTATCATTGTGGAGTGACACTTAAATACATTTTAAATGTCGTATAGTGCACTACTTGTCTATTCCCTTTATAGTCCACTAATTAGTGCACTACATAGGGAATTGAATAGAGAGAGAGAGAGAGAGAAAGAGAGAGAGAGAGAGAGAGAGAGAGAGGAGAGAGAGAGAGAGAGAGAGAGAGAGAGAGAGAGAGAGAGAGAGAGAGGAAGAGAGAGAGAAATGAGAAGTAGGTGTGTTGCATGCATGCATGAGTGTACAAAATGTGTTTGTGCGTTGTGCATGCGCATGTGCACCCGTGTGATAAAAGTATAAAGAGGGTTGAGTGTGTAACCAGGTCCCAGTGCATCAGCATGGAGCAGGCTGTGTGGCTGCTGGGTCTCCTGTGTCTGCAGGTCTGTCTGCTCTCCACCACGGCCCTCCCTGGACCAGACAGACAGACAGACAGCAGCCTTGCAAACCAACCAAGCCATGGTAAGACATTCCAATCCTCTGTTCTTTAATGTGTTCCACATACACTACCGGTCAAAAGTTTTAGAACACCTACTCATTCAAGTGTTTTTCTTTATTTTGACAATTTTCTACATTGTAGAATAATAGTGAAGACATCAAAACTATGAAATAACACATATGGAATCAAGTAGTAACCAAAAAAGTGTTAAACAAATCAAAATATATTTTATATTTGAGATTCTTCAAATAGCCACCTTTTGCCTTGATGACAGGTTTGCACACTCTTGGCATTCTCTCAACCAGCTTCATGAGGTAGTCACCTGGAATGCATTTCAATTAACAGGTGTGCCTTCTTAAAAGTTCATTTGTGGAATTTCTTTCCTTCTTAATGCGTTTGAGCCAATCAGTTGTGTTGTGACAAGGTAGGGGCGATATACAGAAGATAGCCCTATTTGGTAAAAGACCAAGTCCATATTATGGCAAGAACATCTCAAATAAGCAAAGAGAAATGACAGTCCATCATAACTTCAAGACATGAAGGTCAGTCAATATGGAACATTTCAAGAACTTTGAACGTTTCTTCAAGTGCAGTCGCAAAAACCATTAAGCGCTATGATGAAACTGGCTCCCATGAGGACCGCCACAGGAATGGAAGACCCAGAGTTACCTCTGCTGCAGAGGATAAGTTCATTAGAGTTACCAGCCTCAGAAATTGCAGCCCAAATAAATGCTTCACAGAGTTCAAGTAACAGACACATCTCAACTTCAACTGTTCAGAGGAGACTGTGTGAATCAGGCCTTCATGGTCGAATTGCTGCAAAGAAACCACTACTAAAGGACACCAATAATAAGAAGAGATGTGCTGGGGCCAAGAAACACGAGTAATGGACATTGGACCGGTGGAAATTTGTCCTTTGGTCTGGAGTCCAAATTTGCGATGTTTGGTTCCAACCGCCGTGTCTTTGTGAGATGCAGTGTGGGTGAACGGATGATCTCCGCATGTGTATTTCCCACCGTAAAGCATGGAGGAGGTGTGATGGTGTGGGGGTGCTTTGCTGGTGATACTGTCTGTGATTTATTTTGAATTCAAGGCACACTTAACCAGCATGGCTACCACAGCATTCTGCAGCGATACGCCATCCCATCTGGTTTGGGTTTAGTGGGACTATCATTTGATATAGTTGTTGTGTGTGTCAAAGATAATAACAACTCCTTATCTTATCTGAGGGTACAGTTCCGGTGCTAGAGAAGTTACATTGCACCATGGTGGTGTCGAAGCAATTGCCATGGTAACATGGTGCTGTTCTCCCCATACCAAAACCAATGTACATTATTCATCAACACAAGAGAGCTATCTAAGCCTACTTTAGCTAGGCCAGCCAGGCTTTCAGTCCCCTTCAGTGAGAATAAACCTTATTTATGACATTAACTCCACTAAAGTATGACAATATGCAATCACTCTCAACAGGAAGGCTCATCTCCAGTCATCCCAGGATCACTATCGCAGGTGAGAAACAATTAACCCACAACTTTGTGTTCAGAAAACAAATTTGATAAGAACCGCTGTTCTTGTTTCTACTCTCTGATCGTTCTCTCCTCTGTCCTCAGAATTCATGGGCTAAAAGGCAGGAGAAAGAAAGGAGTGAATGCAAGAAAAATAGAAAAATGTGTCGCTCCCGTATAGGAGCCATGGGAGTCATGAGAAGTCCTCCGAGCTCAGTAGGGTAAGAAATGGCTAACACAAACATGATGAACCAAAGAGGCTGAGAAAAGTGAATTGGGAGATGGTTTGGTGACCTGACAGATTCAAATGACATGGACATTGTGTTCTTCTCATATAGTATAACAACATGCAATCACAAACCCCTGCTTGCCTCTAGTCTCCGACCCAATATTGTACATGCCTATATAAAACACTTCCAATCACTTTTTATTATTGATTTTGTCAAATTCGATATGCAGCACTCAAAGAGGTCCTGTCTTTTGTGTTCGTTAGAAAAATTATTTCCACTCTCTGATGCTTCTCTCCTCTAGCCTCAGAGTTCATGGATTAAGACGCACGACTGTAAGTCACTTTGGATAAAAGCGTCTGCTAAATGGCATATTATATATATTATATAAGACACAGGAGAAAGACAGGAGCGAATGCCCCAAAAATCCAGAAATGTGTCGCTCCCGCATAGGAGCCATGAGTCTAGTATCCTCTTGTGGAATAACAATATCTAATTACTCTCAACAGGGACACACCATTCCTGCCGCCGAGACCTTATCCTCCTCCTCCTCCTCCATTTCAGGAGAGAAACAAACAAAACAGTGAAGAAGCATACTGTTAAATGAATCACTGTCAATAAATTGTATTTTATATGCAGCTGTCAAAGAAGCCCTGACTTTGTGATCAGTTACAATTATTTGATAGGAATCCCTCTCCATTCACCTCCACTCTCCATTCAGGTGGTCCTCTGTAGCTCAGCTGGTAGAGCATGGCGCTTGTAACGCCAAGGTAGTGGGTTTGATCCCCGGGACCACCCATACGTAAAAATGTATGCGCACATGACTGTAAGTCGCTTTGGATAAAAGCGTCTGCTAAATGGCATATTATTATATTATACGTAAAAGCCCTGGATACTTGGCTATAATGTCCAACCATGTTCCTGTCTGTGTAGTGAGAGACAACTCCACATTTGTGAATGAGCTAGAGGTGGTGTGGTGTACATGAAGGTATATGTTTCTGACGGAGTTGATCCTTTGCTGCCATATGTTTACTTTTTTTATCTGTGCATTGTTCAGCCTTACAAATCCTCAGCATAGAAGGAGAAGCCTGTACTGAGACGCAGGACAG